AAAAACACTGAGTGGTGGGTTTATAGTAATCCATGTGCTGGTATGCAATATGAATGTGCAGAGAAGACGGGAGGGGGTCGTGTGTGTAAAAAGATGGAGGAGGAGTGTGTGTGTGTGTGTGTGTGTGTGTGTGTGTGTGTGTGTGTGGGGGGGGGGGGGGCAGCAGCTGGTTGGCTGCTGGGCTGGTTTCCATGGCAACGTGTGCAAAAAAAACAAAGAGCCGAGCCTCCGTCCCTCAGTCCTGTATCGATGCTCTGTACAAAAGAATAACACTTTACAATTACATGCACTCTTCTTTGTCTCTTATTAATCCGTCTCATAACTCAAAAACTGATTTCAAAATAAATAAATAAACTAACCGGCATTGTAGATATTAAAATATGGGTTTTAATAATAGATGCAGACTCTCGTCATCGGTCTAATTGTGCGAGAATAAGATCTCGTCTGAATTCATATTCTCCACAGGACTGATGTTCTTGCTGCTCATATTCAGCGGGAGGATTCATTTGGTGCAACGCACGGGGAAACCCACCAGAAGGCCTCCTGCGGTTCTGCTCACAAACGTATCGTTCAGTAGGTTTGAAACACCACCGACGTCACAGAGGAAGTGATATCAACCCTCAGACCTGCAGACGAAGTACCTCCGCCTGCAAAGACAGAGTTTGACTGTTTACGTTGAAATATCTGATTGTATTATTCAAACGAAGGCCCCGTCTACACGCAGACAGATATATGTTAAACTAAACAAAGACATGCTTCGGAAACTCTTTCCCCACCTTCTCAGAGTCTTCATTGGCAGAATTCTGTTCCTGAAAAGTCACGAGATCGTCTGAATATTTCGTATAACAAGCGATTAATAAATCATCGCCTTGTATTGTAAAGTGACTCTGAGCAGCAGCTCCACCTCGTATGAGTCGACTTTTGTTTTCAACCATAGCACCAGATGTAACATTTGTACAAATAAAGACATAATTAGCTAATGCTTTATTAGTTGCTAACCGCCAAAAGGAAAATAAGCTCACTAAGCACGCTCAGACTCTTCTTCTCTGGTGATTGAGTTACGGTTGATGTCGATTTTTTTAACGCCACCTACAGGCCCGGCTAGCGTTTGGAGTCGTTTCTGCGTTCTAGTGTGGACAGAGTTTCATTTTAAAATGATTGTATACCTGTAGACTGGGCCTTAATGACCCCTCAACAGGTCCTGCTTTAAGAAACTCTGCTGCACAGACCAGCTTTGTTAAAAAGAAAACACAGAACCAATCTGTTAAAACATCATCAAAGTTTAAATAAATGTGCAAAATGATGTTTGAAGTTTAATTAAATCAGGAGTGAGTCTTGGTAAAGGGGAGAAACAGCGTGTGGGAGTGAATTATTCATCTAATTGTCAATGTACTCAGTGGAAGATGTAACACTAAAAAGATTAAGGTTCTGAGGTTTTGGATATTTTCCAACATTAAATCTGTTTTGCAGGCTGGTTGGCGTTCTGTATGGTTAACTGATGGCACACTGAACATGCTAAACAGAATAAAGGTTTAAAGGTTGACACCGGCGTTGTGGAGCCTTGAGCTGCCTCATGCGCTGCATGCAGCAGGTTGCTGTTGGCAGGAAACCTGATGGATTGCTTCACATTGCAGAAGAGAGAAGAAAAAGGGAGCCGCCGATCTCTGCAAACTAAAGAAAACACCTGCAGATATTTTTGGAAAACATCACTATTAATAAATAACAAGATAGAAGGAGGAGAAAACCAACCGGTTTCGTGGAAAATGTGGCACAGAACATTACTAATAGGGTTTCTGGGAAGTCGTTCCTTTCCTGCATTGACTATTTTGCAGTAGCTGCACACAGTTCCAGGGAAATGAAACGCTGCCAGCGCATAGATTTTTCTCCAGCACTTCTTCATATTGTGCAGCTGCAACACATTCGCTGCCAACATTATTCACAGGGTTACTCCAATAATCCGGCATATGGCTGAAACCACCAGCAAAAAGAAATTATCTATGATACACATTCAAAATAATTTAAATCCCAAAAGAAGATTTCTTTCAGCTCATAGTTGAGGTTGAAATTCAAAGCAGTTTCAAAACATCTAGTACACGACGGGCGCCGAGCCAAGAATAATATTTGGCTCTTAAAGGAACTTCTGTTCTGTTTCGCACAGAGAAACAGAACTCCCATGAAACACTGCTGTGTCCACTGGTGGAGTACAGAATAGGACAGGAGAGGACAGACCAGGGGGATGCTGCAATAGTAGAGTATAAGACATTAGAGAGCAGTGGAGGACAATAAATACTAGTACATCAGTTCATTAGAGGACAATAGAGGACAGAAAAAGACAGCAGAGGACAGTGAAATACAAAAAAAAGGACAGTACAGGTTAGTAAAGTCCAGTAGAAGACAGGAAATGACAGTACAGGACATCATAGTAAAGTATAAGACAGTGGAGGACATTACATGACAGTTCAGTACAGTACAAGACAGTAAATGAAGAGTAAAAGACAGTAAAAGACTGTTCTTTGAAGTAAAAGACAGTACAGGGCAGTAGAAATACAATAGAAGGCAGTAAATGACAGTGGAGGACAACAGAAGACAGCTCAGTAAAGTAAAAGACAGAAAACGACAGCACAGGACAGTAAGACATCTCAGTGATGTAAAGATGGTACGAGGCAGTAAAGGACAGTAAAAGACAATACAATAAAAGACAGTAAATACAATGTAACATACACCAACAGGACCAACATGGCCGTCTGCTGTTTTCCTGACTGTTTATATTGAGAGCATCCTAATTCTTCTTCTTCTTGGGTTTAAACTGTAACTGTCATCATGACTCATGACGGATTCTTTCTGTGTTTTATGTGCAGAAGTGAAACAATTACACTCAATTTAAAAACCCTTCAACGTGCTCAACACGTCACAGGAAGAGTGAAAAAGTGTGACCTCACCAACACCATACACACACACACACACACACACACACACACACACACAATTCCTTCCTTTTACTGCTGTAAAATTTCAAATAAAATATCTAAATCGAGCTACATTACTGAGTGAATGACATGATGGATGTGACGTCCAGGCACAAATTTAAAAGAGTATACGGGCGAACGTGATTGGCAGCCGAGCATCTGCTGCTGCGTTATCTGCACTTAAGAGCAGCTAATCTCCTGGTTTCTGATTGGCTGAGGAGGCCGACGGCGCTCTCTGCCTCCGAACGGGATGGATGGATGAATAAACAGATAGATGGAGGGATGGAGAGATGAACGGGCCTCTAATGATGCCCAACATAACCGTCACAGATTGCTGACAAGTCATATTGTAAACATAAGTTTAATAAATGTTACTTTAATTCTGAGCAATGTTTCAGTTTGGAACATTTAACTATTATTAGATTTTCCTCCCGGCATCACTGGCACAGCTTTCCTAAAATTCACCCACCTATGAGTATCCACTGCAAACAATAAGGTCATAACACGAACACTGGCACCTCCTGGTGGAAGGAAGTACAACATATTACATCTATTATGTATTGAACAGTACTTTAAAACTGTAGAAAATTCATGTTTCTAAGATATTCAACTCTAAAACCTTTTTCTTTTTATATTAGAGAAAACTGCCGGAGCAGCTGAGATTATTTCACCTGTTTTTCTTTCGTTTTTTTTTATTTAAATCCACTTGTTTCAAGTATTTTTTTTAATTAAATGTAATTTTTTTGCTACTAGTGCAAACATCTGTCTTGTTTTGTTGTTGTTCAAATATGCAAAAACTAATTTTATTGTTTCTCTTGATTAAAAATAAGCTTTGAAGACCAAATACTAGACTAAAACACATTTTTCAACATGGTTTTCCACATGTTTTGTAGGTATAATGATATAATAATATAAGACACTACAAGGGTTAGACATGCATAACATTATGCAATGCAATCTAACAGCAGTGCATTAATAAAAACACCTTGTTGAAGTTTATAATGTGAAATTTCTGTTGAATATATACTGTAATTGATGAGTCAAAAATATGTTTTCTGGAGAGAAAAAAGGCGTATTTCCTCTCAAAATGGAGTTTTAGAAGAAAAAGATGAGATGTCATGTATGATTCAGCAAGCAACACCTTTCCACTGAAGTTCATCTTCAAATGTCACGTTCACAGACACCAAAACTACCATATGACTCAGCATCCAAAAGCAGAAAAAAATCTATATTATCACTGCCGGTTGTTTTAGTTGTAGAATGAAACTACTTCACAAGATAGACTAATGTCTTGTTGTTCTTACTATTTAAAATAGTACTAACCTACTTTTTGTTGCTTATGTGCACGTTGAACTAAGAAGTGCATTAAAAAACACTTCAGCTCTGATTTCCCCTCATCTAAGCTCACTGAATGAGTCCTGTAAATCCTACTTCTTTGTTGTTCCATGAAGCAGTTTCACTTTACACGTTGGTGCTCAGTGATGCGTTCATTGTCTCCTCGGTTATTGCAGATGCTGAATTCAATTTGTTCAAAAAACATTGAAATTGAAGTATTTTAGAAAACTAAATGACACTGAGCTGTAGCACAAGCAGGGATTAGGTTTAGAAAATGTACCTATAATATTTTTAGTTATTGTGGATTTTCTACTTGTTTACGTAGTTAATAGTCTTTACTGTTTTATTACTTATTTACTTATTTAATAATACTTGTTTTGATCTTGTTTTTTTACTATGTCTCTTGTTTGCACTATACTGTATGCTGCTGTAATCCTGTAAATATTCCCACTGCGGGACTAATAAAGATCTTATTTTATCTTAAATATATCTACGTCGACATCTAATAGCAAACACAAACTTAAAGCTCTGCACCTCCTTAAACATGTCCCATCTAGCTCACGATGCCCTGGTAAAACATCCCCCTTCCTTTGTTATTTCTCCTTATTCAACACCATTTTGACCATTTGTTTGAGATAGTCCTCAATATTCCGACCGCCTTTGAAGGCCTCATGGTATCACGGTTAAATGCTCCGTCTCCGCGTCCTCCGGTCTGTCTGCAGAGTGTCCGGATGGAGAGCAGCTTCTGTCGGCCAACACTAAACCTTCACTGCTCTCTCACAGGTTAGTGCGACTTTAACTCATTTTAACTGAGCTGTTGTTTAATAAAGCATGCATTTGATACCTTCGATACTGAATTAAGGACATAAAAACAACAGAAACGGCTGCACGTGTCTTTGACATTTAGCGGTTTCTATTGTAGTGCTCTATATTGTTTTGTTCTATATTGTCTCTTTGTTGAGTTGATTGTTATGTTCTGCAGTATCGCTGAGAGATCACATATTCACTTCCTAATAATTAAGTAAAAGTAAATAAAAATACTCTATTACAAGGTCCTGCAATCAAAATAGTACCTGAAGTATGGAGGTATTATCAGCTACATGTACTTATTAAAAAGTAAAAGTACTCATTGTGCAACAGAGTGACTCCTAAACTCTGCAAAGTAACTACAGCTGTCAAATAAATGTAGTGGAGTAAAATACAGTTAAATACAGTGATGCACAAGGACAGGTGTCATACCATGAAGTACACCAAAACTGTGCAAAAGTATAGTACTTGAGTCAATCTAATTAGTTACATTACAGTTTTGCAAGTAAACGTAGCATCCAGCATAATTTAAACTACTTTATATACATTCTGGATGTTAAATCAATCAGAATGCATAACATGTTATAACCAGATTAGACGTGTGTGTGTGTGTGTGTGTGTGTAAAATTGTAAAAGACTCTGCAAAGTAACTTGTAACGGCTGTCAAATACTGTAAATGTAGAAGAAAAGTGTCATATCTGTACTTTAAGTTACATTCCCACACTGCAAATCAAACAGCACTTCAGCATCTTTAAGTCATTTCATAAAAACAATGAGATCAGAACACATTTGTATCTTGTGAAGGAGAAAAGACTTTAATCCGATTCAGTCTCAGTACTTTCGTTAAATGGCCTCTTTTCACGGTACGAACGTGGCCTAATTTTAAACTAATTTTAAGATAGTTCATTAACGAGAGGCTGTCGAGGGTCACATCCTCTGTGTGTGTGTGCTACGGTCTATCTTTGAACGAGAGACCACTTCAGGGACGCTCGGGGCGTCTGAGCTCCCGTCACAGTGGCAGCTACAGTCAAAGGCTTCTGTCACAGACATGGACCTCCTGTCAACAACAACAACAAACACCCTCCTCCTCCTCCTCCTCCTCTTCTCTTGGCTACTTCAAAAAGCTTTGGTGCACACACACACACACACACACACACAGAGCTTTGATGGTACAGAGGGGTCAGGTGTGAGGCTCGTTTTGACTTTGCCCTCCCTCATGAAAGCTTTGTTGAAAGGTCTCCCGGTGTACTTGACCTTCCTTGTATCTCCACCCGTGTGTTTGAGGATTGAGGTGGCATTTTGAGCACCCATGGGTGGGTTCTGCATTAAAAAGCGAATCCACCTCCCACATAAAAAAAACTCAGGATGTAATAAAAGTCTTGTTTATTCCCTCTGAAAGAGATCAACAGTCAGCAGACGGCTCCTGTTCAGTATCAAATAAAGTCCAGCTCACTGGAATAAAACGTTGTAATTAATTAAAAAGCCTTTGTTTACGTCCTGACGTGTGGAAAAGCCCATTACACTCCACCAGCAGCCGACTCACAGCGTAAAGATCAGCAGCTTGTTTTTTAACAATAAACTCTGTGTTGGCCCCGTCTAAATCCTCTTACGCTTAAAGTCCGGCTACTTCATGAGGAAGAAAGAGGGCATAGATGGTCTAATCCTATTAGCACGTCACCACATCAGCTCCAAAGCACGACAGTATTTGGTCGCTTTTATATTGTGTTACATCTAATTATGTGAGCTTCGTACTTCACACTATATGTGCCAGAAACCTCAACGGTCCAGATCAGTTTTAAAACAAGTGTATTCGACAATGCAGCAGATGTTTTCTGCAACAGTGTTCAGAGCTTGAAGAGCATCGTATTTATAGTTCCACTGATTTCTTTGAAGATTAGATCTTTATTGATTCCGCACCCACGACAAAGAAAGAGGAGGAGTCAGAGAAGCAAAGGAAAAGACAAGAAACGAGTAAAATACAAATAAAACAACATATCTGCATGCACCACACCTTTTGATAATAAAGATATGTGCATGAAGGATACACATGGTGTGTGGCATTGTACTAGGAAATATATAATATATATATATAAATATAGGATGAAGGAAACATGAAGCAGATGGAACAAAAATAATCCATACTAAATATTTAGTAAACCCTTTTTTCTTTTAAATCGTTGAATTCTACAGCTTCACTTGTATTAACTTAGTTGCGCTACTAGCGGGACACTTGTATATTTATATTATATATTCATAAATGAAACATCACAACAGAGCAGCTCAGACTCGAAGGCTCTACTGAGAGACTTCTGATTTATATGCGATTACATCGACGTTGTTCTTTTACATGTTAGTCACCTTGTAAGGTAAGGTAAAGTAAGATGAAGGTTTGAGGTCTAAGTTTAGTGTTTCTAATTGTGTCTCAACCTCAGTCGATAGATTAATGACGAACCTGAAAGTACAATCTGTCACCATAAACAAGCAGTCAATTTAAAGTGACAGGTCTTTTAATACAGGAAGCAACTGTCAATACGAATAAATCAAAGTTAATAATGTTTTATGATGCAGATAAAAGTTTGTTTACATCAGTAATGTTGTAAGAACAGCAGTACGATCGGCTTAAATACATATAGGGACTGTAAATCAAGTGATATTAAATATATTACAATAATCAGGAGCGATAAGGGAGTCTTTTCCATCAGGTCCATATTTTACTTTACATATTTAACTACCGACTTTTATTCAGTTTGTCAAAATGCATCAATTTTTTAAACGTTCAGCTCCTCTGCCCACCTTCTCAAAATGTAGTTCTCTGTTGTTTCTGGTTGGAGTGTTTGCTGCAGCCCCACTGAAGGAGACAGGAAGTGTGGTCACATCGTCACAAGTCAAAAGGCTCCGGAAGTCAAACTCCTGTTACCTCCTGTTCATGAACGCAGCGCTGAACAACAGGTTCAAACGGCACAGGAGGCTGCAGCGCTGCACATTTCAAATGTTTGAATGTGTGTTGGTGGGAGGGGCGTGTGTGTGTGTGTGTGTGTGTGTGTGTTTATGTAAATTAGATTTTATAAGCAAAAACAAAGTATAATTGAAACCATCCCTAAAAAACTGGACCTAAAACAGATAAAACAAGGCTGCAGCTGTGTCTCACTTTCACTCTTCATGATTTCATTATCAGTATCTCGGAAAAAAATGACTGAATGAAAAATAAAACTGCCTGAATGATCAGAAATGAAAGAGATTCTTAAATAGTAGGAACAAAAAGTGAGAAAGCAGCTCTGACAAACGCTCATAAAACAAACAAAAAGTTGGCTACTTCAGCCAGTAGCCTTCTAGTGCTGTGTTATTTCTGTATAATATAAAATCAGCAACTACTTTATTTATATATTAACATTTAACTTATTGTCACGTGTGAATATTTGCTGGTTTTCTTTCTCGTCTGTTATTTAATTGGATACTTTGGAGAAAGTTTTAGGACTTCGGTCTCAATTTCCCAAACAATTGAACAAGGCAGGGACACATTTCATCTGGACTACCTGCCAACATGTAGCATAAACCTCGTAGGATCAGTATTTACAGTATTTACAGGACCTGAAGTACGGAATTATGACAGAACTTGAGTTTAAAAGCCCAAATAGGTGTCTCTTAGAGGTTAAGCTTATCCATACAACCAATCAGACCAATCAGCAAGATTAGAGACGCAAATAAGTACATTTATTCACCACTGGATTTACTTCCACTTTCTGGAAACCAAAACAAAGATGAATCCACCTGTGGACTGTGCTTCTTACGTCTCTCTGTCTGCTGACTCAGGGTCAGTGAGGTTCACAGGAAAGAAGGTGACTCGCCTCTGACCATCATGACAGCAAGTATTGCAGACTCAGGCGCATGCAGTCGCATATTCCTGAACTGCGTTTAGTGTTTCAGCTCTATTAATAGTCACCTCGCAGCCTCTTTCTCCACCACCGACACACACACACACACACACACACACAGCTCTCCGACCGGCCTCAAATATCACATCGACCGTCACCAAGTGGAAGACTTTGCCATCAAAACTGGTGCAGGAGAGGCAATGTGAGTGGTTGCTGTAGTTATAGTGTGTTGATCACACAAAGAGATTATATTTATTAGAGATTATCTTTTTATTTTCATAAAGGTGCTCAAAAAGGTTTCTGCCACCACGTGTGACAGCTGCTGTTTACCAGTCCTGAAGGTATGGGGGGGGGTATTTTAGCTGTGTTCAGGTTCAGAGGGTTGCTTTGGGTTTCTGGGTGTAAACAAGGCTCCTCAAACACTGGGGATGAGACTTGTCTCCATGTGGGGAGACGTTTGGTTTCTGATTTAGTTGAAAACGCTGAGCGGACTAAGTTTTTGAGGGGAAACTCGCTCTGAGCTTGTGGTTACGGTGTCACGGGTGATGAAACATCTCTCTCTTTGTCTCTTCCTCTCACAGGTTGTTTAAATCGTCAAGGGCGTAAAACAGCAAACCCTCCTCCTCCTCCTCCCTACCAGACTCTTCTCGAGGAGAAAAGTGTCAGTCGGCGTGTGCTGAAGTGGAGGAAAGGTGGCCGACAGCGACACCGAATCTGAGAACTCTCCTCACTTGAGAAGACGGCGTATTTCCTGGAGGTTTTTTTTGTGGATATTTGAAAACCTGCAGCCATGTCTCCTTTCCTGCGGATCGGGTTCTCCAAATTTGAGATGGATCCCGGTCTGGCCTACCTCGAAGAGGTGCTGAACCCGTACTGTGCCGTCTACATGAAGGAGGCCATCGACACAGGTTGGTGGCTGCTCGGGTTCATTTGTGTTAATTAATATAATATTTACAATGTTTATGTGATGTAAACAGGACAAAAGGTGGGTTATATCAGTAGTTTCCAAGATAACATCTTCAAATGTCTTCATTCGAGAAGCTGGAACCGAAGAATATTCAGCGTTTTTTGCTTGATAACTGCCTTAAACGATAAATGATGCCACCAGTCAGACCAATATCTCAGCATGTGTTGACCTTTTATTGATAATCAGTTGTGGTCTAATCAGCGTTGTTTGATTCTAATGTGCTGATAGTTGATTCATAGTAGAATGATCAACACAGCAGCACTGTAGCTGTCGGGGTCCATAGTTTTTAAATCCGTCCCCTTCACAAAGGTTTCTTGGTCAAAAAGCAATCGACCGACTGAGCATGCCGGTGTTTAAGAATTAGCCAATCAACGTCAGGGGCGGGACTAAACACTGTTGTCAAGCTGTGCGCCAAAAAACAAGCGGCTATGCATCGGTGTTGACTTAAAATGCCGTTAGATTCAAGATACGTTGGTCTCTAGTGACATACACACAGAAATCGGTTACAGTGGAGTCCATGCTCTTGTTTCCATTCACACATTTTATGCACATTTTGAAGTATCGCATTAGAGAAGCTGAATGGAAACGACAAAATTCTATAAAACGTCCTTAGTTGCGCAGAGAAGTCCTGAAGACCTCTCTCCATGTTTCTCTCATAGATGGTTAGAAGGCCAAGCCGACTTTTGTTTCTGGTGGTTCACGACTTCTTCTTCTACTGTTGACTGGCGGGTTAAAGCCACGCACAGCCGATAGCGCCAACTTCTGACCAAACGACGCCGTAGCCAAGTTTCTTCAAACGTTCAGTCTAAAAATGTGTTGCTGCTGTTCTGTGTCTTGTGTGATAGTTTAGTGAATATGAATCATAGTGAATATAAATATTTGTCACCGTGGGCTCTGGGAAATTGTGATTAGTTATTTTTATGACCAAAATAATAAAACTGAGGAAAATTACTGGCAAAGAAAAATGCTCTTTGGCTGCAACTCTAACTTCTTCATTCTGACAAACAAACACATTCAGTTGACTTGTATGATTTTAGAACCTACATGTACATGTAGACATATTCCATACATGCCTTTAAAAGATTGACAACACAACATTAATTCCATCCGGCTCATGGAAGCTTAAACGTTCGTCCCTGTGAGCACCATATGTTCACCGGCTCTTTCTCAGAAATATACTAATTCCTCTGCCACACAGGAAAACCATGCATTTCATGTTCAGCAGAGCAACAACAGTGGCTGTTTGGAATAAACATAGAAATGTAAAAGTAGCATCTTTAATTTTAGAATCAGCTATTTTGACTTTAATGTACTGGCCGTCACACAGTTTTAGTACCTGTAGCTGGAAAGTATATTTATCGCAGAAGTATTACACTAAAGATCTGAGGTTTAGGACGGCAGGCTCCCTGTAGAACTCAACATTATCCTTCAATTTGTAAGATCACAACTTTGGGAAACTTCCCAGCGTGATAACAGACTCAGAGCCGATGTCTTTGTTCTGCATCTGGCTATCTTTACCCGCCGGTGAATATGAGTGCAGCAGTGTGGAGCTAAAAACAGAGTGACTGAGAGGAAAGAGAAGGGCTCTGATGCTTCTTTTCCTCTGTGAAACCACAAGATGGTCCTGCAGAGAGAGGCCCCGTGTACTTCATTATTACACTACACTGACAACAACATCAAGTTTCATTTCACTTTTCACCTTTTCTTCATGCTTGGAAACACTGGAGACTTGCAGGAGATGATACTATTTGTGTATCAGCCGCGCTTTATTTGTGTTTTTAACGGAGCTGTGTCCGCCATTATTGTAGCTTCTTCTTGGAAGCATGCGTACAATCTGTGCCCTACGATTTTATAGGAGGGTGATGCCTGGAAAAGTCAGAAACACTCTCAACCCAGAGGGCAGCGCCTCTGCAGAAACACACGCAGCCTTATGAGTCATACGGATTATTATTTCTGTACATTGCTTTTGAGGAAAATCCTTCTAATCCTGCCTTTAAAGTACTGAAAGTAAAAGTACTTATTATGCAGAATGGCCCATTTCAGATTCATCTATATTACCACACCCAAATATAACTGGTGGGGATTACTTTATGGCCTGCTGGGTAGCTCAGCCTATAATAATGTATCATAATATATTAGTTGATTCATATTTTTTACTATTTCTTACATTTCACATTTATTTGTCAAATAAATGTAGTGGAATTAAAAGAACAATATTTGTCTCTGAGTCGTGGTGGAGAAGAAGTATAAAGTTAAATAAAATGGAAAAGTACAAGTACCTTATAATTGCACTTACAGTACAGTCAAGTACAGCTTGAGTAAATGTACTTAGTTACATTTTTCATGTTTGCTCGCTGGCACCACGCTGAGTTTGTGAACTTAAGAGCTGATGATGAATCTCCCACCGGACACTGTGGCTCACTGCGGCTGATTTCATCTTCAAATGAAAGAGATGGAAAGCTTCAACAAACAGCTTTTCTTTTGAAGTCCTCCACAAAGTCTCTTTTAATTTATTTCTTTGACTCGGCTAAGCATGAAGTCGTAAGCAGAACTGCAGCATTAGAGGATCGCCACGTCATTTAGTTTTCATGGTTGTGTTTTTAAAATATAAAGTAAGCGTCACGATTGGCCGAAAGCATCCTTTGGTCCCAAAAACACTCCTCCCCGTAGACTTACATCAGGAAGGAGACGTTTGTAACTGAGCAGATCATTTAGTTTGACACAAATCAACTTCCCAGTACGGAACACCGGAATAGTCCTTGTTGAAACCACCCTGCTCCTTTATTAAGGGATGCCTTTTTATGCAAATGTGTCCCTCTGTAGCTGCTCTTATATTTCCACAAGCTTGTTCATAAACTCTTTCCCCTTGAAGAATATTGCTGGCAATATTCTATTTGTCAACAAAGTCCCATAAAAAGACAGAAAACCAATCATGCGTCAGTCTGTCTCTCAATACTTTGACTATTGGTTCGTACCGAAGACGTACACCTTTTAAAAATGGCTCACAAATATAAAGTTTGATTTTAATAAAAGGGTTAGATTTCCTAAAAAAGCTTTGTCACTGTAGTTTTTATCAAACCTTACTCAAACAGAAGGAAATAGTGCATTTACTGGGGACTAGTTTCAGCGGCGGATTAATCCACATTTGGTGCTGTAGTGAGTATTTGTGGCAGCAGAGCAGCTCATTCATGTGTTTTTAATGGATGGCACAGAGGAAGAAGATCTGTCATAGCATCAACACTTGTTAGTGGATACATTCATTGTTGGTTTCTTTTGGTTTGACGACAGTAAGAAAAATGTGCCGAGCCTTTTTAAGTGAACGTATCTGAAAGAAACAAAAAATGTGCCCTGTTTGTCTGTAGTTACGTGAGTAACTGATATTTCCTTCTTTTGTTTGCCTGACATGAAATACCCCCCCCCTCCTCCGTGTTAATGGAAAAACTCGTTGGACCGCTTGCTGCCGGAGTCAAACAGTGGGCCATTCTTAGTAAACTTCCACATTTAGATTGTAATAAGGCAAACCTGCACGCTGAGTCAAGCTGCTCGAGCTGCAAACGCTGCCAATAGACTTTCTGTAGATTTGAGTTTAGTGCGGATTCAGCGGATCAGGAGGAGCTCCAGCTGTGGTGTGTTTGTATACCTGAGCTGGTTCGAAAGGACGAAGCAATAACTTTGAATTTTAAACAACTCAAACAAACTCCAATTTAAGATATTTGATAACACGCCTACAGTTAAAAAGAGGAAGATGCTGCATGAGCGCACACTTGAGTCTTGATGCCACCTTCACAAAATAACGCAGGAACTGGCTGACACCAAAAGTGACACCTCTCTTGCTCGCTCTCTCGCTCTCTCTCTCTCTCTCTCTCTTTGAAAAGTGTAGCCTCTGTGTCTGGGGAGAAAGCAGACATATTTTCCTCTCTGGGTGCTTTAATCGGCACAGACAGCAGCTGGCAGAGCCTGTGAACGGACCGGCGATGAGCCGATGATGAAGGCCCGCAGATCACTTTGTGACAAGAGAAAAAGAAGCTTAGCGGGCTTTATTGTGGAGGCAGCACGGTGGCATGTGGCTGTTATGCAAGTGGACATGGGATGTTTCTACAGAGGAAAATCCGCAGATGTCAATTTTTCTATCCATGTGATGCGATAGAAAATCTCTGGACACTGTGAGGCGATGATCAGAACAATCTGCTGGCCAGGTAGTGAAAGATGGAATATTATTACCAATGGCAGCGGAGGAGAATATGACTGTGAAGTTATGACATCTTCAACATAAGAAAAACACATTTTAATGTAATAAAAGTCACAGATTTCAGCTGTAAATGACAGCTCTGGACCGCAGAAGAGCATCCAATCCCCTGAGAGTGACTCACTATACGTTTTTCCCAGACTAGAAGACGCTACTTAAACTGAAGTAAAAAGCGCATGTGTTAGGGACTATTTGCAGTGGCGGATTAATACACATTTAGTGCTCTAGTGGATCATTTTGAGTCTTGTGTAATGTCCATAATTGTGTCAGTTTTTCCATGAAGAAGATTTCATCAACGATTGTCAGTCGTTGGCGCTTCCTTCCTCCAGTTCTTTGTAATATCAGTTTTATAGATATATACAGAACATACACAGAAATATATCTGACTCTCGTGATGGTTTCATCTCGTCATAACTTGTAGCCTGCCAGTAACGAGAACACATTTCTTTTGCTGACGCAGAGGATTTCTACGTAGGTATTGAAGTGAAAGTCAAAGTGAAAATCACCCAGCGCAGCTTCCTTTTGATCTTATTTCCCGTATGCTGCCAAGAAAAAGCTCAAAGTAAAAAATAGTACTTTCTTTTATCTTGCTTTTTGTTGTTTTTTTCCCAGAAACGGGCCAAGTGTACAAGCAGAAGAAGCCCACCATGTACCCGCCATGGAACACCACGTTCGATGCCCACGTCCACCGCGGACGCATCATGCACGTGATGGTGAAGGACCGGACGGCCGAGCTGAAGTCAGAGTCCACGGTGGCTCTGGACTTGCTGGCAACGCGATGCAAGAAGGAGAACGGCAAGCTGGAGATCTGGGTGAGTGCAGCGGGACGGTTGTGTTGGTGTTGGTGCTGACGGACCAAAAAAAATGTCATAAGAGTAATTATCAGACCTTCAAAACGTATGGTTTTAACGTATTTCTTGGATAATACTGCACGAAATGTGTGAGCGTTGGTAAACGGATGTTTTGATATAGTTTAGCTCATATTCAACATGGTAATTGGTTGTTTTGGGGTGAAATATTCCTTTAAAATAGTAAAGAAACGTTGTCCTCAGGGCTTAAGACTCACCATTAGACTTTGTTCCCCCTGCCTCAGTCTCAACCCTCACTTCTTGTCATCTCTCCATCGTACACCATCTAATAAGGAAAACAATGCCCCAAATTTGGAGGTGGAGGGCCCCCTGACCCCCTTACAGAGGTTGAGTTTCACATCTATTCTCTCCCACTTCAGCCCGAGTTACTTCTTCATTAAATCCAGGATTTGGAGGCCATCTCTGCTCATGCTCATTACCCGGATCTTCCTCAATTTATTTTTAGTCAGAAACTAGACACAGATCACTTCTCGTGCACCAGATAATTCCTTTCCCTGGAAAGACTTTGCTTTGAGTGACACCAGAGGATTCACGCCAACTGTCTCTCATTCCAAACTAAGAAATCAAACAAAACAAAGTAAAACGGACGAATCGAATCAAATCAAATATATTCTGAATTTCCTCCACAGTCTGGTCCGCTGTCTCAAACATCTCAAACATCATTCTCTTATTCAGTTCACGCGTCATCATCCTGAATCCTTCCCTTTTCATTCCCAATGTCTTTCTCGTGAATTTCGGTCCTAAAGTGCTGCTTCTGTTTCTGTTTCTCTTTGTGTCAGCTGGAGCTGAAGCCACAGGGACGCCTGCTGATGGAGGCCAAATACTATCTGGAGAAAAGTGGTGAGTGGTTCAAAGCTTTATACCTCCAGCTGCTGCCCTTTACCATCACTTATAACAACTACAGTCTTGCCCAGCTGTACACATCTTGACAGAAAGTCCTGGCTCCACACGTTATTCTGCTGTAGAGGAAAAGACGCTCGTTTGTATTTCTTTAAACCAATCACAACCTTCTTGGGCGGCGCTAAGCTAAAGATGTAGGAACGTGAGATACGCGGTCAATGGCGGACTTGTATCAAAAGTCGACATCCCATGAATCAGACTATAATAACTATGATATACTGCAGCACAAAGGGTTTTGATATTGTCTGTATAGTCCTTCAAAACTCTCGTGTGAGAGTTTTAATCCCCCTCAGACTAATTACATTTTCTCAAACTATAAATAAGAACGTGGAGTCTCTGCAGGTCCTCGTGTGTGTGTGTGTGTGTGTGTGTGTGTGTGTGTGTGTGTGTGAGAGAGATCCCTTTCCCGGGTGCTTTCCTGACATTAACACCATACCGAGGCCTAAGAAGTCACTCCGAACTAAAAGGAAGAAGCTGTCTCATGTTTCTATTTATAGAGCCAGTAAATAGGAAATCGTTGCTCAGAACAACAGGTGGCACAGCAACCGGCACACTGCGGCAATTTGCTCTGTGGAACGTCCTCCAGAGCGGCATTCAATCTGTACCAAACACATAATACATCGTATATTGTATATTCATGTGGGCAGCCAAATATTCACCCACTGCGTTATGATTCAGCAGCATGCAGACATCTTTCTAAATAGATATTAAGCTTTTTTGCTTTCTATTCCTGGAATCAATCTCCCCAGAAATGTTGAAGTCTTTCATATGAAATAATAATAATATAATAAAAAGGCTAGAAAATGACAGAATCTGAGAAAAATGAAATCAATAATTATGAGAATCAGCTTTATTGGACGCGTAGGAAAACAAATCTACACAAAGATAAACAAAGTAAAACATAGAACTATTATGTGCACAGTAGGACAATCTAAAAGGGTTGAAAAGGCATTTCTCATTTCATCTCAGCTTCATGTCATGTCACATGACACTAGGCAAGTTCTTTTATGTTAAACTGCAAAAATAAGATCACAAAACATGGCTTCAACAGAGAAGACTGACTCATACTTAAGAGGTGGTTTAGACAAAGTGAAACTCTGACGTAGGAATCTAAATCAAGGTGTGAAACGTCTTCATGGCTGAGCTCAGGTCGTCCAGAGCAACAAGAAGTCTTTTCTTCTCTAACTAAAAACCGCCCGATGTGTTTCAGACGCTGCGGGTCAGAGCGAAGGAGACCAAGAGTCCGAACCAGAGAGGGAGGGTCTGTTCGCCCTCCATCAGCGGCGAGGTGCCATCAAACAGGCCAAAGTCCACGTTGTCAAATGCCACGAGTTCAGCGCCACGTTCTTCCCTCAACCGACCTTCTGCTCCGTCTGCAAAGAGTTCGTCTGGTGCGCAACGAACTCAGATATCAACTACACAAATGATCGTTTTCTGCATCCTCACATTAGTCATTTTAACCTGTTTTTATTCACTGCAGGGGTCTGAACAAGCAGGGCTACCAGTGCAGAGGTGAGTGTGACGTTATGTTTCCACTGACTGATGTCTTCTCTGCCCGTCTGCCTGCTCGTGTCTGACTCTGTCACCTTTGTGTCTTCTAGAGTGCAACGCAGCGATTCACAAAAAATGCATCGACAAAGTCATCGCTAAATGCACGGGTTCAGCCATCAACAGCAAAGAGACAATGGCGAGTTCCTGCCTCACAGACACGGGTTGTTCCACAGAAATGCCCTTATGCGTCATTACTATTGGATGTGTACGAGATTTGTAAACTCGTGGTTATAAACGCTTACTAGTCAGGTAGTAAGGGATCGCGACACCAGACATTCTTGTCTCGTCTTGTTTGCTGCTTTCATCTTCTCACTTCCTCGTCGGCCACATCATCCCGGCTGAGTTCATGTGCATGAAACCAACAGAGAATACAAAGCCTCATGTTGTAGTACGCAGAATAGAATAGAAAAGGACAAACCTGCCACCCACTGTTTGGATACAGGAAGTGATTCTGCTGCTGCTTTTGGCTTCGTCTGTATCCGAGATGAATCTGTCTGATGTGATGTTTGTGCTGCAGATCCACAAGGAGCGCTTCAAGATCGACATGCCCCACAGGTTTAAGGTCTACAACTACAAAAGTCCCACGTTCTGTGAACACTGCGGGACTCTGCTGTGGGGGCTCGCCAAGCAGGGGCTCAAATGTGAGGGTGAGAGGCGGGAGTTTTATGATTTATGTGGTTTTCATGCATCTTGTGTTGAGAAACTGGTTTTGTGAGGATTGGCCCGACACCTCGTACACACCTAGTTGCGTTGTGTTAACTGATGACACTATATATACCAATATAAATTATACGTACAGTGTGTCACAGTTGTAAGGCAGACTATGCAATAAGATTGTTTATATGCTCAAGCGTATATGTGCCGGTGTTCTACTCATATTACACTGAATCACAAATTTGCCTCACAGGTCTCTACCATCTGTCTGGAACACAACAGCTTCTATCGTTAGAGAAAATACAACACGAGAAAGAATCTGTCAAACTGTCAAACTTGCAGAAACACATCTTAACGTCCGCTTTAAAAGCGTTGTAGCAGCGCACGCATGAGAACATGTGGAGGTACAATCACTGACGTGTCCACCGGAATGATAACGCTGAGTTTCCTGTGCAGAATGCAGCATGAACGTCCATCACAAATGCCAGAAGAAAGTAGCCAACCTCTGTGGGGTCAACCAGAAGCTGATGGCTGAAGCTCTGGCAATCATCGAGAGCAAACAGCAGGTCGGACAAATAAATCCTCTGTTCTTTAATATTGTTTTAAATGTGAACATTTTCAGGAGTTGCTAAGAGACCTAAAGTATTTTTTATTAGCATGGTGTTACTGGTCCAACCACAAAGACAGTTTTAAGGGGTGTTTTAAGTGTTTGAAGATGGTGTAAATTTATTTTTTCAGAGGCTTTTTGCACCGAAATTTCGACTTTTGAACGGTTAACAAGATAAACTTCAGTCCTACCGTTTGCCTTCAGGCCAGAAGCACCAGAGACACGGACAGTGAGATCATCAGTCGAGAAGGTCCAGTAGGCGTCGGCCAGCAGGGAGTCGTCCGAGAGCCGTCCGGGTTAGTCACGGCTGCAGCAGCTACACCTGCAAACAAAGGTACGCACACACTAAACTCTCCGTCATCACTTCTTGATAGTTTTTTTCTATATTTATATTCATTTGTTTCCACATTCCTGCTTGCTGACCTGCAGAGCTGCAGGGCGTTTCATGGGACGGGCCGGCTGACGGGTCGATCCCTGAGGCGCGGTCGGACAAAGAGCCTCTGTACGCCGTTCCCAAGAAGGATCACCATCCCAAGTTCACCGTCGATGACTTCGTCCTGCACAAGATGCTCGGGAAGGGCAGCTTCGGCAAGGTACAGGAGAAGATCTGAAGAAGAAAAGCACAGGAAATGAAAGATAATTTCACCATTCTTTATGGAAGTTCTTACAGCTATGTCACGTTTTCATAGACAGCATATTTAGGTAGAGACTTGTTCCATTAGTTCGTCATAGAGCTTTCACACAGCACATTATGACTCTTGTAGTCAACACTTCTTTCTGCTGCAAAACCCACAGAAAACCACAAGCTGATTGTTGCTTTGATGTCAGTTGTGGCAAATCGTCATGTGTCACGAAAAGTGGGTGGCAACTGTCGAGCCGCAGAAACATTTTACATGTTCCTGCCGTGTTTCCAGGTGTTTTTGGCCGAGCTGAAGAAGAGCGGGGAGTTTTATGCGGTGAAGGTTCTGAAGAAGGACGTGGTGCTGATGGACGACGACGTGGAGTGCACCATGGTGGAGAGGAGGGTCCTCTCGTTAGCCTGGGAGAACCCTTTCCTCACACACCTTCACTGCACCTTCCAGACCAAGGTAAGAACCACGGACGCTCATCTGTGGACCGAGACCTCCTCAGCAGGCCCTGACCTCTCTGCTTTGTGTGCAGGAGAACCTGTTCTTCGTGATGGAGTACCTGAATGGAGGCGATCTCATGTTCCACATCCAGTACTGCCACAAGTTTGACGTGCACAGAACCACGTATGTATCCCGTATGACATATTTAACGTGTTGAATATGTTTCTGCAGTGTCCGAAAGTCACTTTTTGATTTACTCCTTGATTTCGTTTTTTTGTGTTTTCCTTTGAAAGCCAGCAACACGTGTAGATTCCTGCGTGTTACAGGCATACGATCTTTTGATAAACTAAGTTTAGGAAAAGATCATCGTTCGGGTTAAAATAACTACAGTTGCCGTTGCCGTAACCATCTAAAACGTTTGTTTACTCCACTGCTTTACAGAAGTGACTCACCCCATGTTTGTTTTTTTCTGCAGCTTCTATGCAGCTGAAATCATCTGTGGGCTCCAGTTCCTGCACTCTAAAGGAATCATTTACAGGTAGAGTCTCAGTGTCAGCCAGAAACTAAACAAAAGCAAAGAAACAGGCCAGACGGAGAGCTGCTCCTGCTGACCTCCTCGTGTTCCTCTGTAGGGATCTGAAGCTGGACAACGTGCTGCTGGACTCCGAGGGTCACATAAAGATAGCAGACTTCGGCATGTGTAAGGAGAACATGCAGGAGCAGTCACGGACCGCCACCTTCTGTGGGACGCCCGACTACATCGCTCCCGAGGTGACAACACACACACACCTATATATTTATACACGAACATAGATTCATCTTTCAGTTATTAGCTCAAGAGACCATAACGGAAATATAGACTGATGTGATCCAAACGTTTCCAATAACTCCAGAGCGTTGTTCAAAAGTCAACATTTATTGAAACAAATTCACAACATGTTTTTTTATCTCATGAAATATTCTGTTTCAGTCTGGACTTTTTCAAAAACAACATTTTCACAGCGGTAGAATTAGCGGTACACTCCTGTATTAACGAGGCGGTCTAGCAGCATAAATACCATTTACATAAAAAGGTTGATCTTTGTCCCCTTTATGGCGACAGACACTCGATGTTTGACGGTATGTTTTAACTGTATCAGATCCTGCTGGGGCAGAAGTACAACAGCTCGGTGGACTGGTGGTCGTTCGGGGTGCTGCTGTACGAGATGCTGATCGGTCAGTCTCCGTTCCACGGCAGCGACGAAGAGCAGCTGTTTCAGTCCATACGGACGGACAACCCCCCTTACCCCCGCTGGCTCACCAAAGACGCCAAGGACATTCTGATTAAGGTGAGACGCTCAGTGTGTCTGAATGGTTGCATCAAGGGAACCAAACTAATTCATCTCTAGAAGCAGAAATTAGAAAATAAAATGTGACATAGCCTCTTGGCAAACTCTGGCATATTTAAAGCAATGTTTGCTAATGTGCGCTGTAAAATAAACTAATAACAATAAACTAAAAATAAGAGAAAAACTGAGCTCAAAAGTACAAGTTAACCTTTTTACGACTACAAACTGTAACTCTTTAAGCCATCAAGGAAAACACAACACTTTAACTTCATTAGCAGAAGAAGAAAAAGTACTTGGGCACCGTTGATTTCTGGGAAATGTAGTACAGAAACACACACACCAATGAATATTTAAATATGTTAATAAAATAAAAATGACTCCATTGTGCGTCTGTGCTGCAGTTGTTTGTGAGGGAGCCCGAGGAGCGACTGGGAGTGAAGGGAAACATCCGAGAGCACAACTTCTTCAGCAGCACCGACTGGCCCGCCCTGGAACAACGGAAGGTGGCGCCGCCCTTCAGGCCAACTCTAGTAAGTACACTCACAGCTGGTGCACAGCGTGGTCTCACGTTTTCACCCACATTTGGAGGGCCGGATCTTTTTTATGCTAGCTGCAGATTTTAAAGAGTATAACCCAATGTCAGCTTCGAGCCACGAGTAGATTCAGTATCTTAACAGGTAAATTTAACAATAATTTCAGTCCTTTTGGGAGCAAAAATGCAAAAGAAATGTGTCTTGATCCAGCTTCTCAAATGCGTTTCTTTGTCTAGTGTGATAATGAACTGAGTTTTGGACAGCGGGTCGGATAAAACAACACATCACCTTTGATTTATGGGTTATTATGAAACTATTTTTGGACATTTTACAGACCAAAACGATTGATGGAGACAGTAACTGGCAGGTGAATCAATGTAAAAAGTACTTGTTGGTAGTATTGCTACATTCTTTGATGGCTAATGATGAACATGTTTAACTGAATTCATGGTATTACATCTATTCATGGAGGAAAATAAAAGACATTCATCTGTGTATCATAACAGATTGGGAGACTGTTAATAGCAGACCACCTCAAGGTGTCACTCAGACAGAAACAGGACATTCTGATGTAGCATTTCAAAATAAAAGCCCTTCAAAATCTCATTCATGAGCTAACTTCAAATGGTGCATAGTTACAAAATAATTTCACTTCAGGTTGAATCATTATTGTACTTGTATTGACAGACGTCGCCCAGTGACTGCAGCAACTTCGACAAAGAGTTCATCAACGAGAAGCCTCGGCTGTCGTGTGCCGACCGGACGCTCATCAACAGCGTTGACCAGACGATGTTCAGAAACTTCTCCTTCGTGAACCCGGGGATGACTCGCGTCGCAGCGCGCTGACCGCCGGACCGACAACCTACTACCTTACGGAACGACGCAAGTCTCAACCAGCTCTCACTGGAACCGGAAGAAAAAAGACTTTTGACCGTGAATGTCACAAACTGTATCCGTCAACATGATGAGAACCACTACGGGGGGGGGGGTTAGGGTTGAAGGCGCACACTGTGATGGGATCTTGTCTCTCGTCTTTTCCGTCTCTCGCTCTCAATTATTTTAAATTTAAATAAAACAAAAACATTTCTGCAAATCAACAACATACCGTAAGTCCATTTTAAGGACTCACATAAAATGTGTTGAATACATAATAGCATAGAATCCCATCTTAAAGTACTTAACCCCCTGAACTTGCCTCCGTGCTTATCAGGGTGTGTTTATCAATAGAGCATGAACTTGCTGTGCCTCGTAATATTTTATTAAGTTAATTTCTTCAAGTAAAGAAACCAGATTACATCTATTGTTACCTATTCCACAGCGTAAAAAGTCTTTTCAGCCCTTTGTGTAAATAAATGTAATTCTGTTGATGTTAGCAGGTTTTTGTTTACGTGTTTTCGTATCGTACCTCAGGAGTTTTTATTAATGCGGTAATTTAGATCAGGTACTAAGATCGGCTGTGTACTGTAGTTTTTATTGTTCTCTTCTTGTGAATCATGAACAATAAAATATGTGGTTTTTTTAGACTGCTGTTTCTGATTAAAACAAGCTAAAAGGTTAAAGTTCATCACATTTATTATCACAAAAAGCCTTTAAGTCCATAAAGCAGAACTGCTTAATAATTTGCAAGTTGCCCACAATGCAACTAGAAATAATATGCATGCCGAATTATTCTTAACACATTGACATGTGCAATGAAGTACATTATTTTGTTGTTAAAATCTGTATTCTCCCCTTAAATATAGTACATCTACCACGGAGCATGACAGTTCCAAAGGACACGGACACATTTCGTTGCTGCACCTTATTCCGTTGCTTTGCTGTCTCACCGTCAGCGGCTCCGGTTCAGTCGGAGAGTAGAAACGAGTCCCGCTGAGCTGAAACACACCGACAGCCCTGCAGAGTAAACTACGAGCCATGTTTGTTTATAATCGTCGCTTCGCCGTCCCACACTCACTTCCGGGTTGCGTTGACGTCACAGGCACGTAAGGGCGACGTAAGACGAAACAAGGAAGTCAGAAATTCAAACAGTTCTATGTATTTTAATTTATTGGAGAAAAAAAAAATCCATGTACAACTTTAAGATTTGGTCCAAAAATATAAAAATTAGTTAGTTATTAATTAATAATATTACTATTAGCGTAGTATACACGCTGGTGTATGTAAATACATTGCTTTTCTTTCTCCACTTCCTGTTTTGTCCATCACACGACTAGTTTGTAATATATAAAATCTTAATTTGTAAAGTAACTAAAGCTGTCAGATAAATGTAGTGGAGTATTGGAGTGAAATCCAAAATCCCCTCTCGGATTTGACTCGGATCTGTCTGTGTTGTTGACATATGTGTTGATATGTCAACAACCAGAATTTTGAACCCGGCTTTATCCAAAGTTCAGATTTGTGTTCTGCCAACTAGCACATATTTATTAAGATAATACCTCGTTGTAAAACCATTGATCAGGGATGTGCTGAAGTTCACATCATGGAGAATAAAACAATAATAATGATTATTATAGTTTTGCAGTGCCTTACACTTTAATTAAAATAATAACTTTAAAGAGAAAAAGTGACATCACGTTTTTGAGAATTATCTTATTATTATAAAGTGTAACAATTCGGAAGACATAAGGAGTTTGGTTACTTTTGTTCTGGAAAGTACTTTTTTAGACATCAGCCATGATGCTGTTACTCAGAGAATAAAGAATGAAGTAGTGCTTCACGACATCAAACATCTTCAGATTGGGAGGGTTTTGGGGACGAACACAGTTTTTATTATGCTTAATTTACAGAACTTCTTAGGTATCTCTTGTTTCTTAATACTTGGCATTGAAACAACTGGATGGCTATCGTGTTATCTTAAAGGAAAAAAAAAAAAAAGGTGCTTCATCTTGTTGCCACATAAATGAGTCCAGAAGGAAGCAGGTCTCTTCATGGTTCAGTCCAGGAGAAGGATTTTCTCAAGGTTTAAACTATTGAAGGGACACCGACGTCCAACACAAATGCAATGTAACTTCTTAACGTCTGTAAAACATGGTTCACATCTGATGTCGAATCTTTATTGTTAGCATGTATCCATTATAGTCACTGTAAAGGGCTTAGGGTCCTATGTTCCTTAACTGTACAGTAACAATGCGGTTTAAACAATAAACAAAACATGAGGTTTCACACTTAAGAGTCAACTAGTCTGTGATGGCTTGAGATTTTCAGGAGGACCCTTCATCAAGTGAACCACAATCTTCACATGTCAACATCAATGCACACTGAACTTTACGTTTCTACAACTTTCAATCTACTTCAAATAAGACGTGGGTTATTTTCTTGATACGCAGGAGGCAACACGGTGTAGTTATAGAATGATTTTCTTCATATCACGTAACGACTGTGTGTTTCTAGCTTCAGTTCGGGAGCGCAGAGGTCTTCACCGGCTGCCTGTGGCGCCCGCTGCGCTACTCCGGTTGAGGTTGCGGCTGAGCTGAGGGAAGTGTACTGTGGGTGTTCTGGACGTCGGACCGTAGAGCCCGAGATTTCTGGCTGCCGCCGATTTCCTGGGCTGCTTCACGCTAGGGAACGGGGAAAAGGCCGGCTGTTTGGGAGAGACGGTGGACGACAAGGCCGGGGTTGACGGGGAGGAGGACAAATGGGACCTGGACGAGGAGGCGATAGAGGAAAGTGAGGGGGTGGAGGGGGAGGACGTTTTGTAAAAGGTGGAGGACGCGTGAGGAGTGAGAGAGGAGAAGTCGTGAGCTGAAGGAGAGGACGTGAGGCAGGATGTGGAGTTGGGCGTCGGGGTGGAGGGAGGTGTTGGCGAGGACGAGCCGGGCATGCCGAGAGAAGCCGGCGTAGGGACCGGAGACGGGGACGGACTCAGAGTGGAGGGAGTGGAGTTGAAGGAGTGGTGAGGTGGAGGTAAAGCGATGGAGGGAAAGTGTCTGTCAGATGCGGCGCTTCTTTCTGAACCTGACGAATCAGACTCTTTGTGTCTGTTTGAGGACAGCGGAGGAGGGAGAAGGAGAGGGACTTGGGGTGCAGGTTTAGACTCTGGTTGTGCATCTGAGTTTGCGTTGTGGGGGGAGGTCAGATTTGCCGCGTCCTCTAGATCCAGAGCGTCCAGTTGCACCACCACCTCTGCAACTTCTGTTGTCTCATCTGCCACCTGTGGAGCCTCTTCACTAACCGACCCGTCACCAGAGGAAACAGGAGATGGAGACACCAAGGAGTCACTCCCTTCTTTCTGCTCCTCATCATCCCTCCCAAGCTTCCTCTCCTCTTCACCCTCAAATCTTCCTGATCCTCCTTCCTCCTCCTCCTCATCATCATCCCCTTCCCTTTCCTCTGACTCTCCAAAGCCTAGCTGTGCTCGGGCCCTGGCTATATTCCTTCGATGAACCCGGACATGAGCTCGCCACGGCGACCCGGCGCCTCCTCCCGAGCTCCCTGGAGATCCAGTGCTGTTGGAGAGCAGAGAGCCACAGCGCTGCCTGGCCGGGGAGCCCCGATTCTGGGACAGGGATGCAGGTCTGGACCCCGGTAGTGTGGATGTGCTAGTGGATGTGGGTTTGGAGCCCCGGGGATCTACGAGTGGTTTCCGACCCAGAAGGAGGTGGTTGATTACGGAGCTTGAAGGGTTGAGTTGGGAGGGCAAGACACGAGTGGCGGGACATTTGTCTAAAAGGTGAGGGGACAGAAAAACAATCACATGAAAACAGGCAGAAAACAGTCGTTTCATGGTCACTGAATCTCATATTCGAGTGTGTGCACAGATGTTTGAATCTGAAAGGGAAAAAAACATCTCGCCGTAACACTGTTATACAATGTTCACAAGTCATATGTTAGCATGAGAGGAGAGGAGCAACAAATAGAAGGAAGTAGAGATTGTTAATTAAATGATAGTGATAAAAATTCGCCCAGAAACTGCAGCATACAGCTGAAAACAAATGAATCATTTGCAAAAATCAAGCATAATTGGAGACATCTGTCGCTTATGAAGACATCCTCAGCGTTTTGTTAAATGGAATATTATCTATTAAAGCTAATAACTAGCTTTTGAGGATTATAGGTGCTTTAAAAGCACACAGTGTGTTGACATTATTATGTCATATAATCATATTAATATCCCGTAACATGTGAACACAACTGTAAGTTTCTGGCATTTAAATTGAAGTTATAAAAGAATTGATTCATGCATCTGATGGACTTGTTTTTTGTAAAGTAGTGACAGGTGTCTCCAAATAAAATCTGGAATATATCAGCTGCAAATAGAACAAAACCATCACCAGTTGTCCAGCTGCTATCCTCCTTATACCATTCAATTACTTTGATTAATTAAGGAATGAATCATTAAAGACGCTCAAATCAGCCCCAGAACACCCAGTTTTCAGAGGACCCTTGTGGTCCGACAGCAGTACTGTCGGTGTGCTGGTCGGTACCGTCGCTGCGTTTGTTGCGATGCTCCTGGAGAACCCCTGGATTAGTGGCCACTTCAGGTCCAGGTCCTACGAGTCACACATCATCGTCAGAAACATAGAACTTTCTGCTGCGTGTCCGTCTACACAGAGAGCCTCGTCACAGTCTGCTTTGTTTTAGCAAAGACTTAAAGTAAAGAGCTTATTTTGTTCTGAAATAAGAAATGTGTAATAATGAGCAATAAATCACTTTACCACCTGCAAAGAAGAAATGTAGTTAATATATTGATGCATCATTTATATATGTGGTGAAACATTATTAAAGTTACTACGAGGAACTTTCATTTTGTGTTGGTTTTGGCACCCCCTGTGGACGAAAGCTGTAGGGTCTCTGAGCACCAGAGTCTCTTTAGAAAAGCTCTCATTTTACTGCAGCAGGGTCTGACAGTCTGCCCCTTCAGTCCTGGTTCTGGTTCTCCCGTGCCTCCCTTCCTGCCAGCGGGTCCAGCAATACGCCCTGGGTCTCCAGCAGCGTGGTGTCGGTGTAGGCTCCCAGAGAGGAGAAGCTCTGCTCCTGGAGGAGGAGAGGCTGCTGCTGCCGGGAGCTGAGCTCTCCTCCTCCCTCTGGAGCTCCGACTGCAGGTCCAAGGCTGCAGGTGAAGCCGGATCTGGGTCTGTCCACGGATCAGGACTAGACTGGTTCAGAACCAGGTAAAAGTTCCTCATACTAACTTTAATGTAAAATTAAAAAACCATCCATAAGCCGCCCCACTGTGAGAACTGTTCTCTACTGATATTAATGCTAAAACATAAAGAAGAAACGTCAGTTAAAGTGAAGTTATGATTGTTTTGACTCTTCTTCCCACCTGTGCGTATGTAGAGTTGCATAGCCTGTTGCTGCTGCCTCCTTTTGATGCGCGTATATTGCTTCTTCAGGGCGTAGATGTCGGTGCTCATCCTCTCCATCATCATGCTGTTGATTGCTGCTTGATGCTCCGCCCTGGCACCTCCTCCTCCTCCCCCTCCAGCTCCCACCGCTCCTGGGCTCAGCTCTGCGATGTTCCACTGCTCTCCTCGCTGGTCTGGAGGAAGTGAGATAGAAGAAACACTGCTGTCATGTTCTTTATCCCAACATTGAACTCTTCATTCCTTATTTTACTTGATTTATTTCATGACCGGGATTTTGGCTTTCAGAGAATCAAAGATTAGAGTCGAGGGCTTTGGTTCAAAAAGGAAAATACACAAATCAAACTAAATCCAATGCTCTTTTTAGTTCCCTTTAAGCTCCTTTTCTTACTTATTTGCTCCCCCAGTTTCTCTTTCATCCCCTTTAATCAAGATCAGCTGTGACACAAAACTAAGCACCACATATAGTGGTTAGTTGGGATCTGTTTGACATTTACTTCACTGAATTTCTGTTCGTTTTCTCTTTAGCTCTACTGGAAAAGGTCAGAAGTTATTTCTTTCATCACCTTTTGCGGCAGCTTTTCCTCCTTTTGTGTTGCAAAGACTGAATCCAACCCAGCTGGTTTAGTTTGTTTACTGTAATTATACTGTAGTGATGATTTATTAATAATCAAATGCTACACTTAGCTCTTAAGAATGAGCCATGTTTCCACTTCAAACCAGGTCACAACAGTACTTATATCTACTTATGAGGTTAAATTAAACACTTATTTCTGTCTGAAGTCGTTTCTAAATCTCTCTGGAGATTGACGAGTACTGCTTCAGATCTTAACCAAATGTTTTTAACTAAATCCCTCCAGCTGTTTGACTTTTTTTTCCTTCTTTGGAAGAGGAGGAAGTGGGGATTTGTCTGGAGGAAACGAATCGAGGGCAGAAAATGGAGGATTTGGGGCGGTTTGTCAGTTTGTCTTGAGCCACTTGGCTGCCACTGAAATCCTGTGCAGCACTTCATGTGGTCGCACTGACCTTTGAGATGTTTGTGGTACCTCTGCAGCTCCGGGGCCAGTAGGCCACCCAGGGGACCCAGGCAGCCGAGCGCCGTCACCACAGAGTCCTCATCGTCCATGTCGGCGTCGTCGTCGCTCTCCCAGCTGCCCAGAGCGCCACTAGAACAAGATAACAACATCATCACCACCACTATAGCATGTTCACATACACATGTAAACTAAGGGGTTCTAAAACTATACGATACTAAAACTATCCCTTTAAAAAAGGCTGCAATTACAACCTGCATCTGTGTTTGTACATATTTCATTCATGAGCAAAAGACAAGTGGCTTCTAGTTTAAAGACAACCTGTTAAATATGTACATTCAATGTTTCTGAACTTCAAAACATTTTCCTCATGTTTTGTAAACTCCTACAGTTAGCAGGAACGTGAAACATGTCAACCGCCTCTTACTAAATATTCATGATGTATAAAGAACACATTGCCCCCTAGTGCCACTAGCTGTCAGAAGCTCCACAGGGTACGTTTAACGGCAGTAAGCTGCTGAAATCAAATTAATATTCTGTGTTTATTTATCAAGATCTATAAGAAGAGTACAAACCTTCCACTGGATTTGACTGAGGTAGGGAACGGAGTGATGTTGTAGGTGTACTTCTCTCTCAGCTCAGCCAGTTGAGGGAAAGGAAACACTGCCATGGCGTAAACCTCCTGCAATGTGAGGTGAAGATACTAGTTTAAAAACATCAGAGGTTTAACAGGCGTGAGCGGTTTAGTTCATCCCGTACCTGCATGAGTTCAGGAGGATCGATGAGGTTGTGCTCCAGCATCTCCTGAGTGAGACAACCCATCGTGCTGTAGAAGTCGTCCGTTGTGTGACAGTACTCGATCCTCCTGGACGGAGACGAGGAAGACGAGCAGCGTTTTAGAAGATGGGAGGATGGAGACAGGAGGAAGAGATGCAAACATCAGAGAAGAGCATTCATAAGGTCCGGAGTTAACGGTTCTGAGTTCTAAGTGGATATTTTTAGTGTCTCAAGGTTCAATTTTCTAAATGTTTGAGCATGAAAATAATACAATTTAAAGCTGATTAACAGCACATTTGGATACACAAACGTTAATCCCCCACAGAAGTCAAATCCCAGTTTGTGTAATGGTCCACTCACTCTCCCAGTCTCTCCCAGATGGCGAGGGCGACCCGAAACAGCACCTCTGATCCCTCGAAGAAAACAGAGTCCCAGATCTTCAGCACGGTGGGCGCCGGCAGGCAGGTGGCGAACATGGTGAGGAACCACTGCATGGTGAACACGTTGGTCAACGGAGGCTCGTAGCTGCCTGAGAGAACACAGACGTCTGTTATTTGGGGTATTAGTTGAGTTATTTGAACACATTTTGCCTTTATGCATTAATGTGCAAATGATTTATAGACCATGATATTTCTTTCCCAGTATAATTTAGCAGTTAAAGCAGCATCAGCAGCTCTGCTCTCTGATATTTGTAACCAGGTAGCATTCCTGTAAACACAAACACACAGGTTCGTACCTCCGGCCTCTCTGTTGGCAGCTTTCTGAAGGTGTTGGAGATGCTGGGACAGTCTGGGCAGCTTCAGACGCAGCAGGTCTCTGAACACCGCCATGTCCACTGAGAGAAGGAGACAGGTTTAAACAGGAAGTTGATGAGAGATTAAACATATCTCAAAACTACATTTCAGTTTAGTTTAGTCTGTTGTGTTTACCTGACAATGCTCGCAGGTTGTTGGCAAAATAACTCTCAGGCAGCACTTTGTCAATCAGATAGATCATCACCTGAATATAGAAGAGTGGAAAAAGTTGAATAGTTATTGAAAAGGTCAGTCTTTTTCATGCAGCTTAACTTTAACTTCACATTCTACAAATCTGCATTCATCTTCTGTAAGCTGATACTGTTGCTGTGCATTTGTACCTTGAGTGCATCGCTCTCATGTCCCTCCGTAACTTCCAGAATGAGCGCAGCCAGTACGTTGAATCCCTGGCAGTAGCCCACACTTTTATTCCAGCGGGCATAGGCCAGCAGCACCCTCTTCAGCACCACCCTGTCCTGCTCCCCCTCCTGGCCACTGTAAGAACTGCAGCCCGTCCTGTGCAGGTCCTGGACATCAGAAGGATAAGATACGAACTTTATTAATCCTGAAGGAAATTCTTCTGCCAGAATTCAACAGAAGAACAGCAAAAAAACTAGAACATATGAACAATAAAATATCAATTATATCAGTGTTCAGTATGGATTATTGTATTATAAATCTCTGCATGTACTGGATAAATTAAAGGATAAAGAATGATCGTTTCTTGCATTTAGGAGAGAGACGGTGACGATAAGCAGATAATCAGACTTTTCCCTGTTGATGGAAAACTCTGTTGAACCTCTGAGTCATTGAGAAACAGAAAAGAGCTTCAGTGTTTCCATGATGCAGTCACCTCGTTCTCTGACGCACAGTCAGAAGTAAACATCCCCTACCGGACACTACTCTTCCTCTCATTAGTAGGATGTGCTCTCTCTCTCCCCCTCTCTCACTCACTCACTCACTCACACTCACACACACACACACACACACACACACACACACACACACACACACACACACACACCTCACCGTCTTCATTAGTGAACAGAGATTGTTGTTCAGTCGTCAAATGTGCAGATGAAGACTGAGATTCGGGTGAGAGTACAGATTCCTACATGTGGACCTATCTATAAAGAATAGTGGACTTAAGACGGTAACTGGTTTTACTGCTAAACTTCAGAAAGATTCTGTGTCGATTGACGGCCTAATTAATGTTCCAGAGGGTTTTTTTCATGCTGACATGACTATAATTCTTCATGAAAACATTGGTACCTTCTCAGATGAAAGTTATTAAACTGTACACATATTCAATATCATGCATCTGGTTACCTTGACTATTTGGATGCCGAGGGAGTCATCGTCCGGGTTGCTGCGCTCGTTGAAGGCGAAGCGAAGCGTCTTGTCCCAGTCGATGGAGATACTGTGGAGGTACTGGTCTGCTAGCGTTAGCCAAACCTGCACCAAGACAACAGATACAGCAGGAACCACATTAATACCAAAATAATATCAACAGCTGAACCAAACTAAGAGGGAAGAAATGGTTCAAATATCAGGAAGACAGAGAGAGAGACAGAGACAGAGACAGAGAGAGAGAGAGATGTTTAACATTTAGTTTACGTTACATACTCTCTTCCTCCATTCCTTCGGTATCCCAGTCGGGAGTCTAGCCACCGCTTTAAGGGCGTCGTACCACTGTGGGGAAGAAACACCGTTTTATTCACATTTTTAATTAACCTGCACACACGTCTGCACTGCAATATTCTATCTTTAAGAGGAAAAGTCAGCATCATCACATTCATCCACACACAACATTAGACCAACAGCTAAAAGCAGTAAAGAAACAAATTAAAGCACGTTTACTTCTCACCTGCTGGAATCCATTCTTCCCCAGCGATGGTTCGATGGTGAACTTCAGCCTCGTGTCAACTCCTACAAAACAACAAGAGACACCCGGTCAGACTGGTCTGAACCAGATCTGGGTGACTACCATTGAACCAGACAACATCCTAAAGTTTCTGTGCAGGAAGAGGAAATATTTCTTATTCATGACCTATATGTTCCATGTAAACATCCTTTAAGGAGATAAAATACAAAATAATGAAATCTATGACTCAAAGTTAATTTAAACGTCTCAAACCTAATTACAATAGCATTAATCTTTATAATTTAAATCTAATTCCTCCTTTTGTTAAAGATGCTAAACATAATTTATTACATCCTGCGGACTCGTGCACGTGCATAACATGTCGGTAAACTGACATCCTGCAACAAATCAAAATCTGAAACAAGAGGTCCAAACACCGGAAGCTCTGAGTGTTACCGAAATATACCTCCAACCTTATATTTTAAACGGTATTATGAGACAAAACGAGGGATTTAAGGCCGTCGTGTTAAATTATTAGATGTTTGAACGGACTCTGGAGCTCTGAGACGCGTCACGGGAGAGTCGCTGTCCATTTCCGCGTGGTGCTGAAATCCTCGTTTCAATCTCCGTCAAATCTCTTTGCACGAACACACTCACACACACACACACACACACACCCAGACTTCGTCTTCAGAGAGATATTTAACACAGCAGGATAAACCCTGCAAACGGAAATGAAACTTTGATCTGAAGTTAAGAGGGGAAGGTCCTGACATGTTGCGGCTCTGAGCCAACAGCGGCCATTTCTCTCTCTCTCCACCTCTTCCCTCCGACGATCGATCCGTCTCTCAAACGGAAGCCGATCGCACCACAAGTACCAACAATATAGTTTCCACTGCAAGAGAAACCCCTCACAAGAAGACAAAACGTGTTTTTAACCTGCTCGGTCCTCCTCTGTCGTTATTTCCTGCGCCATTCTGTGCGAACGTCGCTTTATTCTGCGGAGCTTTGGGAGAGGATTAACACGGAAAACCCTCCTACTCCTCTGTCACAGATGACACAAAACGTGTACTCAGCCGAGGCTAGAAACATTAGTGAGGTCCAGAGGCTGCAGTCCGGCATAATAGGTGAGAGTTTAATCTCTCCAGAGGAGACGTTAATTGAAATTAAACCAGGAGAATGGGGGAGGTAGGAAGGGAGGAGGCAGGAAAGGTGAGGAAGGAAGGGGAGAAAGAATGAGGTGATAGAAGGAATGGATGAGAGGGAAGGAAAGAAGGGTCTAATTAATTAATCTAATCTTCAGTCTTTGGGTAGAAACAATAGAAAACAACGTTATATACTATAAAAAGGGGTTAGTCTATATATGCACATTAAGTTGATTGTATCACGAATAAACAAGTTTAAAGCTTTTGTTAGGCTGTTAGGAGCAGATAACCAGAAGAATATCTGTGAAATGGATGGATTGTTGCTGTGTTGGTGTTTTAAGCACCTTAAATATCACAAAGCATTACATATGCAACTTGCCCTCCATTCCCAGGGTCCTTGTCTTTATTTATTTATGGGTTTCAGTTCCTCAAAAAGCTCTATCGGGCACTTTGCATGAGTTTGCATCAAAACAAGAAAAGGTGAGCCACCAGACTCACAAACAGCCCTGTCTGATGCGTCTACATCCATTTATTTAAATAACATATCAAAAGTGTTCACATTCAGCCAGATGTATGAAGACATCTGGCTGTTTCTGCTGGCTTCATATCTGGTGTTCATCCACAAAGAAGAGAAGTGTGAAACCCGATATCTCACTAATTTGGTCATGTGATGCATTAAAGTATGAAACCAAACCTCACTTCATGCTCTGGAGCTCATTTCTAAAATCACTGAGCTCATCAGACGGCTTAGATATAACAGTGATATCTTCGTTCTCGGGTATTGTTTAAATCCCACAATGCAGTGCTTTCCTCCAGAGACCCATCCTCTATAAGCGTCACCTGGCTCTAAGGTGCAGAGCAGCCGCGGCGCGCTCCTGGAGATCCCGTTCCGTTTCTTCAGGACGTTGCTGATGATGTTACCGACCCCTCCCGAGCCCTGCTGCCGCTGCTTCGCGCCCGCCCTCGGCCTCCTGCCGGCGGCGGTGAGCCGCTCCTGTCTCATCGGGAATCGAGCCGTGCGACCCGATCGATCATCGTCGTCTTCTTCTCCCGCGTTAATAATCCCCCTTCACGCCTCACTTGTCGAAACGCATCCCCCCGGTATACGCCGCTGTTCAATGAAACCGATTCCAATCTCTTCCGGTGATCGCGTGTGTGTGCGCTTCCTCTTTTTTAAAATCAAATCAGCGAGGCAGCAAACGTCCAGGAAGCCTCGCGCAAGCGACTCAAAAACATCTACATCAAATATGAGTTAAAGAAAAATGCCACAAATAGCAGGAGGAGGACATCCGGTTTGTGCAGCCTGTGCTCGGTATGTAGTGTTGCTGATGATACGCACCTCCTCATCCTCCTCCGGGTGTTTTTGCGTCACCAGGAGGAGGTGCAAGGATGGAGAGGCCGTGGGGAGGAGATAAGAGAGGGATGAGGTAATGGTGGAGGAGAGAGGGGAGGAGGAAAGAGAGCAGGGGTGTTTTTTGTTTTCTGAAGCCATAAAGTGGTCAGCCAGTTAAAAATCAAACTACATAAATATGTGTTGAATACATCTTTACTTTTGTTTGGGTAAAAAGCTATTTGAAAATTGAAACTTGGGCCGTGGGAACTTGTGAGTTATTTTATCAAATCAGCAAACTAAACTCACCCTCCAAGATTTAGGAAACACTGATTCTGCCGAGTCACCTCACCAAAAGAGAGAGAGCAATAACATAAAGGATGTTATGATTCAGTCTCAGGTGCAGTAAGTGCTTCCTGAAGACATCGAGTCTCTTAATGACTCAGGATCAATACCAACAAACAGCCTCCATGATGAGGTCACGTAATCATCATCATACTTTATATTCTCTACAGATGTTACAGCTGTTTCACTGCTCTCATAACTAAATATATATATATATATATATATATATATATAATACTGTGAAGAGAAAGATAAGGAGGAAGAGGAAGAAGAAGAGGAGTTAAATAGTCTGAAGTACAGAGATTTGTTGATGTACAATTCCTTCAATAGATATAATGCCAGTAATAAATATTATTTAATGACCATTTCAAGGAAACAAACATACTGATAGTAAAAGTACTGACTTATGTTTCATTGAATTGTTAAAGCTCTAATAGGTAATATTCTTCATATAAACATAACATGAATCAAACAAGTACTTTGTATTAAAGGCTTAGTTAGGATGTATTGAAGTGGGGCTTCATGAGGTACTTGTACAGTTTGGAGAAGTAGACATGAGTACCAGCGTGGGAGCAAAGCAAAGTACTGCTGTGGATAGATAAACCTATTCTAGACACACAAATCAATATCAGTGTACGCTATATTTACAATAATTTCACCGCTTTACTTTGCCATCAGACAACCCTTTCTGCCGAGGAACTAAAGCTTCAAAAAAAAAAATAAAAAAAATTATATATATATATATATATATATATATATATATATGAAATATTGCCACAGCCTGGCCATGATCCCACATGTAAATGCCTCCTCACAATAAAACCCATTTATGATTTTATACTCTACCTCCTTGTGAACAGTCATGCTGCTTGTTAACAGAAAAAGAAAACACACATTACACCTAAATTCCTTTAATTGTGTTTAACTTTGTTGAATCGTTGCTCTTTTTTCTTCGTATCTGGAAATGGCTCAATAACAATCAACCACAAAAACTTAAACGCTAGCACCTGTAAAGAGAATCATTTTGTAAAATTATGTAGACTTTGCCTTATTGTTATTCTCCCATATTCCCAATTTGTATAGTCAGGATATTTAATCTGAAAGATCACTCATCTCTGACATAACAGGTGAATTTAAACTATTTTACAGGCTGTTTTGGAGCAGAAGAGCCGGGAGATTAAGATATGAAAATGAACATATGATTCCTGCGTAGTCACGTGCTTTGACTCTACTGTATGTCACTCTATTATGTAAATGTGAGGACTATTTTCATACAACATGTGATACGACAGCTTGGACTACATCGTGCACAAACCTGTAGATCTATAGTATCTTGCAAATGCACTCACCCTCGAAGTTAAAGCCTTTTAAATGTTCACAAACCTTATTTTCAAATCAATTTCACCAACACAGACGCGTGCTGTGATACCATCTACCGGTGTTTTTAGGACTAAAGTGTGTTCTTACGTCGTTTCTGCGAGACAGCCTGAAGGCAGGCCGTGATGATGTCGTAGTTCTTCTGCAGTTTGTGGCACAGTCGGTCCCGTCTCCTCAGCTGGCGAAGCAGCTTGGTCGACTGAAGGCCGGTTCGATATTTCACCTCCTGGATGATCGAGTGCAGCTCCTCCGGGGCTAAGAAAAGAAAAGACACAAACACATAAGTATAAATGATGAAATGAGTGTCTGACACACATTGGAAATCTTAAAACTGAATAATAAATAAGATGTCTTCTAAATAAAGCTACTTAATATAGTTTGATGATGTCTGCACTCCGCTATTAGATCAGAATATAATTTGTCTGTTTTCCAGGCTGCAGGCAAAGATGAAATGAGAGAAACCAGAACACCGCCCCACATAAACACACACACACACACACACTCCACATTTATGGAGACTAAAATCAGATTGTCGGGTGAAGGTGACACAGATCTGTGGGACAGAGTTAATCAGTAGGGTCCCTTGAGTCCTCTATCAAGTACAAATACAAAATATTTGCTCATTCCCAAAAAGTTCCCAAAAAGTTTAGATTTGCTTATTTTCTTCATTTAACATTATATCTTTGAAGATAAATGAGAAGATGAACATTGGACAGACCAAAACGTAGTAAATTAATAAATATTCCAGCTACTTTTTCAACATTACATAATAAAAACCTTCAAAACACTGTTCAATAAATAAAAATATTCACGGTTTATTATTTCATTTAGATATCACCTCTGTGCCTATTACTAAATATAGAAAAAGAAATAAAAATCTGCCTAAACAATCACTTTGCAATCATCTACATTACCACCTTCCTTGGAGGTTGCCCTTTCATATAACAATGCCCAGGAGGTGGCAGGGTCTGCCTCAAGCACCAAGAACGTCCAACATCCCACTGCAGACAAAGCCCCCACATTTAATCCCTGACTAAACACATTAGACATATGTTTTAGCTGCTCTGTGAGGCCTTATCAGACTGTTTCCTTTTCCTGAGTGGCAGCCCTCTGCAGTGTTTAACTTGACCGAGCCCTCACATGTCTGTGTGTGTGTGTGTGTGTGTGTGTGTGTGGAGGGCAAACACCGAGCTCACGGCCCTGGCTGTGTTTACTGTAGGACTCCACAATGGCAGCGTGGCATTCACAGAGGCATGCCTTTCAAGACTCCGAGGCAACACCGAGTAAACGAGCTGTCAACACACCGGAGTGCGTTTGTGGATGTGAAGCTGTGCATGCTGTGAGGATACCTGTAAACAGTGTGTCCAGAGACCAGGAAGTTCGGCTACTCACTCACACACACACTCACACACACACACACACACACACACACCATACAGTAGTACCACTGTACTAGGGGATGTGTTATGGTTTCAGAATGATGAAGGAAATTACATATAAAACAGGACATGGGCTCTACAGGATGCAAACTACAGGATTTCTTTTACCTCAACAAGCTGAAGAAATAGTGCATATGGCAGCTGTAAATGTGGAAAAGGACCCACTAAGTTTGGGTAAAGCTAACCCCTGATCAACCCTAAAAAAGATGGGTAACCATATGAAATGAAGAGTAATACTTTACAAATAAACCATGAAAAATGTAGTTGACCAGTGAGTTAACAGAGTTTGGGTGTTTACTCATTTGAGGATCTAGATATTTGCATGTTATACAGATTGTATTGTATGTGATTTAACCTAATATGAATAAAATTATTTTAAAAGACTCAAACAGGACATGGCGACGCCCCTGAACACAAACACCCTGCCCCGCCCACACCTCTCACCTTTCTGGCCCAGGTAGTTCACCTGATGCCTCCTGGTGTGCTTCTCCTGGAGCTCCTGGAGGAAGCTGGACCCGGAGTTACTGCGGCCCAGAAAGGCATCGGATCCGGACGCCTCGGTGGAGCTGTCCCAGCTGTCCAGATTCCTCCGGCAGCCTCCACTGTACGTCTCATAAAGCTCCACCAACAGACAGTCCACGATGGAGGAGGACCTCAGAGATTTGACTCCATCTCCCCGGGACTCGGAGTCACTGTCACCAGCCGTGCTGGTCCAGTGAGAGGCAGGCGGAGCTCCGTGCTCGGTGGCGGGGCTCGTCCACTGGTGAAAGCCGGAGAACTCATCCTGGGGGGAGGCGGCAGAGTTGACAAAAACGCCGCTCTCTTCCTCCGAGTACACGCCAGCGTCGCATATGTCAACTTCCAAAAGTTCGCTCCCGTTTAATTTCACCTCAGACGCCATTTTTGTTAACGGTTAATTAACCAGTTGTCATTTTTCCAGACAACACCGCAGAAGTTGGAAAGTTTTCCTTTGATGTGTCTCGAGGAGGATAGAGTTCCTGGAGCACTCCATTCCTCACCTCAGAAAAGGTAGAGACCCGTTTGACAGCTTTTAGTTTCCTTCCTGAACGTTCCGGACTCGAGTTCCCTGCCACCCCCCCCCTCCGAAATTAAACAATGGGCCAGCCCACTGGCTAAATTTCTCAACGGCTGCCAAACTTTCTTCAGGTCGCGCGACAGGTGCTTGTGGCTCGACCAATCACGGAGGAGACAAAAGTTTAACGACCAATCAGCTTCCTTGTTCTATCACTACGCCAGCAGGTCGTTTTGTACGTGTGCACAACTTTTAACACAATTTAATGTGGAAAATAACATAAATATGACAATAAACTCGCACTTTTAGGCTCCCAGCAGATTGTATTTGACATTTACACGTTGTCTTGTTCATGTATTTCTGCTCTAATCTCCAGTTAAATGTGTTATTTTAGTATTGGTGGTTGTTTAACACGTTGTAAAAAAAAACATTTTTGTACTGAAATGGTGGTATTGTAGAAATCATACTAATATTAATGTTTTAATCTTACTATATGACTTTCAAAACCCCAAAATGCAAGTATGACACAATAAAATTGCAGTATTTCAAAAGTTATGTTTCTTTGAATGTATTATGTTAATGAGTGATATATATGTACATGCATATGTATATGTATATATATATATATATATATTTTCTCTGATTTCTTGGTCTTGCTGAAAAGATTTTGATCTATGTTTTAATATTACTTTTAAAAATATGGACAATTCTCTGATATTTACCAAGGCATATTCTTTATGAAAGCTCAATTTGAATTTAATTCGTGGGGTATTTACTTTGGTTTTTACAATTTTATATATATATGATGCATTATATACATCTGCAACACGCTAATATCGACCTTTTAAAGCATCACAATAAAAGGTGTTTTATAGCACAAATAACCAGTGGTGGAACATAAGTACATTTATTCAAGTACTTTACAATTTTCACATACTTGTACCTAACTTGAATATTTCCATTTTATGTTGTACTTTATACTCCACTACATTTTGGAAGCATTTGTTGTAGTTTTTACTTGACTACATTTATTTGATAGCTTCAGTTACTTTCCTAAATTAATTATATTACTACAACATATACATCAACAAATAAATCATGATGTATTATTGTAGATTATGCTACCCAGCAGTATATAAAATAAGTATCAAATACATAAATAAAATAATCAAACAGTCAATGTTTTTTTCCTCATGTCAAATCTTTAATGTGAAGATGTCAGCCATATTATCTGCACAGAGAAATGTTTTTGTTGCTGCATTCCTTATGATGCATATTCTGAAAATTTACTACGTATATATATATACACTTATATACAGTATATTGTTATGTTCTTGTGTTCAAAATGGGCTACAACTGAATTTTGTTCTGCATCATGTTGCATAATGACAATAAATTATCCTTAAATATAATATTTGACACAAAGGTGTTACTATTTTTACTTATTATAAACTAGAGCAATGCAGAACTAGAACATACAACATGGAGAAGTTAAAAACAGATCCTAACAGAAGAAAAACAGTTATTTTTACTCATTAGTCATGCTGGAGGGGGCGTCACGTCTTCAAATCAGCTGATTAGGGCTTCCGTAGCCAAGAAGCACGTGACCAGGAAACAAGGAAGTGTTGTCTCAAACAGAAACAGGGCCGAGTCTGTCCTGTTTTTTCTTCCTCTCCGCAGAGGACTCAACGTTTGACGCTCTTATAAAAAGCGGAGCTGAAGAAAGAGACGGACAGCTTCAATAGAGTGGCACTTGTTTATTTTAAAATGGGTTCAAATCGCTCGTTTCCGACGATTTTATTGCATTGTCTCCTAATCTGCGTCACTTTGTGGAGCAACCTGAGCAGCGGGGTGTTCGCTAAATCAACCCAGAGACCAAACATTGTTTTGATCCTCACCGACGACCTGGACATCGCCATCGGGGGTCTGGTAAATAAATCCGATTCTGCTTTTCATGTTAATGCATGTGTTGTTTTTAGTACCAGATAGTCGTCACTTTGCAGCTCACTTGTAGTGATGTCATTAAAAATATGTGTGATTTAATTGATGTAATATTGACCGTTTTGGTTCCGGTCTTGATTAAGCCGACTGCTCACATTCCTGCTGGTTGGACACATCATTTCAACATTTCTCTGCGTCAGCAGCTTTATCACTTGCTTTAATCTGCTCTCGTGGTTTTCAGTAAACGCCTTCCTTCCAAAAACAACCCTTAGTATCCGAATCCCATGGAAAAATGAGGCAAATTAGTGAAATACTGTGAGTCATACATCTAAAGATTTAAACTGCTGTCACTCTAATAAAATATAAAGTATATATACACCACACTTAAGTTCGTAAAATTATATTAATTCACTTATTTTTTCTACACTTGTAAACATTTTTTGATGAGCTGTGACGGATGATAATTAGTATTGTAAAATATATTTAAATTTATTATACATATTCATGCAAAAATCATGTTTCAAATATTTAAAAATCAGTTTTTACAGAACCATGTTGCTTATTTTAGCCTCTTATTCCTGTCTGTTTCGCATCTATTGTTTTTCATTGTGATGTTATCAGTTCCTGTTTGTATTCTTATACAAACCTTTTTACTTGCTGCCCAGCTTGACACACACCCACACACGTTAGGTAGTGATGCGTTAGTCTCGAAGAGCTGCAGCCCCGTCACATCTTAATTTAACGACTAAGAAACAAAATCAGAGACGGTTTATTGCCAAATACGTTACACATGGAAGGGATTTTGACTTGGTGACAATAAATGTAAATAGTAAAAGATATCGAATAGAAAAATATGAACATTTTACAATAAAATACAAACAAATAAAAGAGTATATTAAAACAAGTATGTTATGAAAGTGTGTAAAAGGGAGCTTGTTGCTTAATTTGAGAATGTTTGAGTGCAATGGAGGCCAATAAATTACTTCTCCTCGGAATTGATCTTTTCCTTCCAGACTCCACTCACCAAGACGAAAAAACTGATTGGTGATGCAGGGATATCGTTCACAAACGCAGTAAGTATCATCATCATGTCTCATCATGAAATGGATGAAAGAAACACAATACAGAGACGTGTTTTTTTTCCTCCACCGTCTTCCTCCCTCTAGTTTGTCGCCAGCCCGCTGTGCTGCCCGAGTCGAGCCAGCATCCTGACGGGGAAATACCCCCACAACCACCACGTCATCAACAACACGCTGGAGGGGAACTGCAGCAGTAAAGCCTGGCAGAAGAGCGAGGAGGCCCACACCTTCCCCGCTCTGCTGAGGACGTACGCCGGCTACCAGACCTTCTTCGCTGGGAAGTATCTGAACCAGGTAACGGACGATGGGATTGTACCGGTTTATACAAACCGAAACATGCGTCTTCTGCTTGGAACATTTCCTTCTACTCAGTATCTGAAGTGTAAAATCATTTCCTGTACACATCTGTTAATTGCACATCAAAGCAGATTGCCTTCCTGTTGCTCATTAACTAATAGTTGTCAATTAGTAACCATTAAACAAACAAAAGAAGAGCTATTCTGTGCAACACCTGTAATAGAAAATTGCCTCTCAGGTGACGGTCAACAGTTAGTCACAAGATCTTCTGTCATGTGTTTTTTTTAAGTCATGGTAAAGTCCAACTGTCAAAGTTGCATCGACCCTTCGTGATAATCAGATGGTCAAATGGGGAACCGGGACAAACTCTTCAGCTAAATAGCAAACGGATGACGCTTAACCCCGTTTTCTAATTTCCTCTCCCTATCTCCGTGTTTCTTAACTCTTCCACTTGTGACCTTCTCGTCACAGGTCAGCACACACAGACAGCTTTAGTCCAGACTGACAACAGAATGAAAAAAGAGTTTGTGGGGCAGATTTAAACACAAAATCCAGGAAGGTGCATTTGAGGGCAGATTTAAACAGTTGGATGTTGGACAATCCGTTATCTTTCAAACAATACATGTCATATCAACCAAATAAAGGTGAAAAGTCCAAATTAAACTCGCGTGGCTTCTCTTTGTTCAGCCTTGGATGGTTTGGAGGGGAAAGGGGCGGGGTTATATACGGTTGGGGGCGTGGTCTAATCAGGTGTGGTGGTGGGGCGGAGACTCGATCAGATTGATATGCTGCGCTTCATTCATGTTTCCCTTCTGACTTTTCGTGATCTCCTGACTTTTCATAAAGCACAGACAAAGTAGTGAAATAAACAACTAAATGTGTATTTTGGATGATTTATTTCTACTAGTCTAAAAGAAGATGCGTTATGGAAACAAAACAGCCCAACATCTCACAATAGAGCAGTGCATGAACACTGTTATTGGCTGTAGTGTCTCCCTTTAATGAGCCCCGAACAGCTGTCAGAGTGTTCTACCTTTAATTTGGTTATACATCATTTCTACCATTTATCTGTCTCTTGTTTTTTTGTGCTGCTGTAACCATCTTGTCATTAAACTAACACAGATTATCCTGTTTGTGTTTCAGTATGGGCACTCAGAGGCTGGTGGAGTGGAGCATGTTCCTCCAGGCTGGAGCTACTGGGTTGGACTGGTAAGACTCAAACTTTTTTTTTTTTTTTTTTTTTTATCTTTTAGCCACGAATTTATCATCTTTGGGTCAGAATTAAGGCCTCTTCAGCTTTTATTTAACCCTTTCTGGTATTAAAATGCTATTACTAATATTTAAAAAGCAGTATTTAACTCCCTGCATGTTCATTTACGTTGTTTCATAGTAGATGGTAGAACATCTCTGTGGGAAGTTCAACAGAGCGTCAAACTGAGTTCAGTCCATGCGGTCATGTGACTGGAAGCTCTCTGCGGAAGCAGTCAGACTAACAAACGGATCAAATTAGATCTTCTTTACGCTTCTAACCGGTTTACTGGAGTCATGAAACGGAGGTCACGCCCGTAATCCAACTGCAGAGCTGACGAGTTTATCTTCACTGTTACTAAACAACCACAGTTTATATGGTTTCTGCAGAGTTTTACTTCTTTAGTATCACCTACTTACTGCCTGTTAATACACCATGTCAATCTGCTACCATTGAGTTCAGAGATTCCTGGATCACGTGTCGGTCCGTGTGACCGTGATGAAAATAAAGAGTATTTCACAAACGTGTTTTGTGTTTTCCAGGAGAAGAACTCTAAATACTACAACTACACTCTGTCAGTGAACGGAAAGGCCGAGGTTCATGGAGCGGACTACAGCAAAGACTACCTGACAGACGTCCTGGTGAGCAAATCAAACGCCTCACATTTTATATTGCGTCCTATAACAGGTGGTGACTTCAGGTATCGTATGTTCAAATCTTGCAATTTTTGTCCGTTAACAATTACATTTGTGGGGGTTGGGAGTTAAAGAGTAAAGTTTAATATACATGAAACAAACGGCTTTTTCGAGCAACTTTTAATATTAGAAGTTAGTTTTTAAGCTTCTGAAGTAATGTTTCTTCTCTCTCTCTCTCTCACTCACACACACACACACACACACACACACAGGCCAACAGGTCTCTGGACTTCCTCCAGTATAAATACAACTACCTGCCGTTCTTCATGATGGTTTCCATTCCGGCCCCCCACTCCCCCTGGACTGCAGCCCCTCAGTACCAGAACAGCTTCAACACCACCAAGGCTCCCAGAGACCCCAACTTCAACGTCCACGGGAAGGTAAGGGGACTTCTCTTCCTTTCACTAAAAATATGTAAAAGTTGACAATCCATTGATTGAATGCATCTTTTCTTTCATCTCTCTTCAGGACAAACACTGGTTGATCAGACAAGCTAAAACCCCGATGACCAACTCATCTGTTCAGGTTCTGGACGATGCTTTCAGGAAACGGTGAGTCTTCTCTCTTCTCTCTCTCCATTTGATTCATTCTCTTCCTCATCATCACCCTCTTCCTGTCGTCTTTCCTCTCCGTTCTCTTCCTACGTTCTTAAAAGGGCAACTTCGGTATTTCACTTCATTATTTATCAGCTGTGTTTCTGCTTGATTTCACTCAGTTTGGTTTCACTGCAGGCTTGTTGTTGCTCGTCTTGGCCTCTAGGTGGCAAACTCTGCTGTCAGTGGACGACCTGGTGGAGAAAATAGTGAAGAGTTTAGAGGTCAGAGGTGAACTGGACAAGACCTACATCTTCTTCACCTCCGACAACGGCTACCACACAGGTGTGTAACCGCACAATGTTTTGAATGTTTTTTGCACAATGAAGCCAATTTCAGATACTCTGTATACTAATATTCGTATAGTACAGCATCAAATTGTATATTTTTTATCCTTTTCTATTTAAAAAGTAACTAGTATCTGTGTCTCATAAATATAGATGAGAAAAAACTACAATATTTGCCTCTGAAGTGTAGTAAAGTATAGCTAAAATACTGTTAAGATTGTACTTAAGGACAGTACCTGAGTATTTGTATTTAGTTACATCCCACACTGCTGGATGTTTTTGCTCCAGTTTATTAAAACCTCGTCAACAGATTAAGTTTGGGGGAAAGTTAGAAAGAAAGGATCCAGACCTTTGTAGGATTTCTTAACACTGAGATTTTATTAAATTTAAAATGTGTTTTCGTGTTTCTTTCTGCCGCCGTCTCTTTCAGGTCAGTTCTCTCTTCCTCTGGATAAGCGGCAGCTCTACGAGTTTGACATCAGAGTTCCTCTCATGGTCAGAGGACCAAACATCAAGCCCAACCAGACCAGCCAGGTACACACACACACCTGTGCATCTGTGTTTGTTTGTGTGTAGTTCTGCCTCAGCCTGCAGCACTTGTTGAACTAAACACATTAAATTCATCTTGTTGTCAGATGCTGGTGGCGAACGTCGACCTCGGTCCGACCATCCTGGACATCACCGGATACAACGTCAACAAGACGCAGATGGACGGCATGTCCTTCCTGCCCGTTATGGTGAGGTCACTCAATTAGATTAATATTAAACCAAAGATCTCTACAATTTCACTTCATTTAAAAGTTACAGTGTGTAACGTTTAGGGGGATCTATTGGCAGCTAGATAACAGCTATCATCCTATTATTATCTAACCACTACACTAGTTAAGGCTCAGCGTTTCCGTTGTAACAATGTCTGTGTGCGTCACCAGGAGGGGAAGATGAACAGCAGCAGCTGGAGGACAGATATCCTGGTGGAGTATGAAGGAGAAGGAAGCAACGTGTCCAACCCGGCGTGTCCTCTGCTGGGGCCGGGAGTCTCGGTACGAGATTTAACGTTTAATATTCTCTGCAGCAGGTAAAGAAGCGGCTTCATATATATTCTCTCTTCCATCTCTAGGAGTGTTTCCCCGACTGTGTGTGCGAGGACTCGTACAACAACACATACGCCTGTGTGCGAACAGTCGCCCCCTCTGCCAACCTGCAGTACTGCGAGTTCGACGATAATGAGGTTTGTTTTTCTTCCGTCAAAATATGTAACTTTTCCGCATTAAAACGACTAGATTTATGTTTTACATTTTGTAGAGTTGTGTAGTAATCATCCACATTTTTAAACCTGGAGAAACTTGTTGTGGTCGTCGACAAGAAGCTGCCATAAATCAAGTTTTTATCCAGTTTTAAGACCTATTTTTACGATTGCTTTTTTAGATCTTTGTCGTTTTTAACTATATATTTTAACCGGATTTAGGATTTTAGTCATTGGACGTCTGGATCTTAAGATATAAGAAAAACAAGCTGAGCCAATGTTAGTGGCAGTGAAGTTAACGATGAACATAGGTTACATGTAGTGCATTTAAAGCCACTAGTGTGTAAATATTCCATACTTTGGCGCCACCTGGTGGTCAAATGCATCCCTGCTTTAGTGTCTTTAAGTTGTAAAGTTTGACGGTAATGTTTGCCTCCTGTAGGTGTTTGTAGAAGTCTACAACGTGACCGCTGACCCCTTCCAGCTGACCAACATCGCTAAGACCATCGACCAGGAAGTCCTGGAGAAGATGAACCACCGGCTGATGATGCTGCAGTCCTGCGCCGGACAGTCGTGTCGGACGCCCGGCGTGTACGATACGAGGTCTGGATCGTTTCACTGACAAGTAGAAAAAGAAAAATGTTATTTATTTATACATTATTAAATACGATTTTATTACCTTTTCTATAAATTCATGTTGAATCTCTTTTCTTGGACGTCCAAAGTACTTTAAAAACACAGAATATTGACTCCTCTGTCCTGTTTCCTCAGGTATAAATTTGACCCTCGACAGATGTTTCCAAACCACGGCTGGCGGCTCAGCCGACTCCGACAGAAGACGAAGTAAGACGAGCAGATGAAGGACGGAGGGAGGAAGAGGAGGGTTGTGTTTTTGTATTCGGGCCTTTCTTGCTGTTACTGCCTTGTTTTCAGGCCTCCTGAGCCGAATCTCTTCGTAGATGGATTGAGTAAAAAAAAAAGGGACCAGGTGGGGCTGGAGGCCTCTCTGGGTGCTGGACCCGCTTTTAAAGCTTCCAGATCGGGCTGCTGTTTCGTGAGTTTGTCAGTAGACGTGCAGGGAAATTATTCAGGATGGATTCACACTCGCAAAGCCATTCGTTCCTGTTTTCCTGTGAGCGTTGTTGTGTCTAATCGGTCAATTTAAAATCCTGCAAACAAGTGTTTCTCTCTCTCTCTGTTCAGAACTTCATATTAATGATCCACCCAGTGGCCACTTCATGGAAGGTTCTTCATGTTTTAGTCTAAATGTTATTCAGCGTGCCTGGTGGACATTTGTTTTCTGCATTCAGATGGTCCTCGAGAATTTCAATCTTAATCAAAGAGAAACACTTACTGCGTCACATGGACAGTTTCTACAGATTTATATTGTCAATCAGGTAGTATTTCTTCAAATCATCATTAAGAGAAAATATCACTTTTCCATCATAAGTTACCAATTATGCACAAAGTGAAAAGCCTAAAAAAACTTTTTAAAGTTCGTAAATTTACAAAAAATGCTTTTCAAAACACGACAATTTGCTTGTTTTTCTTCACTTAGCAGCAATTTTCTGGAGCATTTTTACTAAATAAATCAAAATTAGGAATAAATTACTTTAATTAAAGGTCGTGATGTCCTGTTTCTGATGCGGGTAATAAATAAATATCGATTAGAGCGATCACAGACTGTAAAATGCACATATTTGTAGAGCGATAAAGAACTAAACACGACGACTTTAAAAAAGGAAAACTTGACGACAATTTGGTTAAAGAGTTTCAGATTAGAAAGAGGAAAACTTTAATCTAGCAGCAAAAAGTATTTTAGTAAAAAGCAACTAAAATCTCCATTCAAGTTCAATCAATAAATCAGATTTAATGGCTCGTGTGTGTGACACTTTAAAAGTCTCCTACTTTGTTTCCAGCGTCAAACATTTCCATTATTTCAGTGATTTATCTTCTTGTGTTAAAGCACCGTTTTCTTTCTCAAAATGCAAATGAATCGTTTCTGAAGCATTTGTTGGGTACAGAGATTAACTTCCTAATGAAGCAGTCATTTTAGAAAAATAGAATATTTTGCCAAAAAGTCCTTTTTCACGTAATCGGGGTTTCAGTCGGCAGTTTTAGATCAGTTCTGTTATAGTTTCTACCAAGAATTCTTATTTTACTTCATGAGTTGGATGTGAGAACTTTAAGGCCAAATAAAAATAAAAAAATCTATATTTGATGTATTTTTAAATGTGACCTTTAAGGGAAGCCACTTGTTTTCTTTGGATCGTGTTTATTTTTGCCATAAACAACATTTATACAGTTTCTTCAACCCTCCTGTCGCTGGTATTTCTTATTTGAAAAGGTCAATATATATAAGATTATTTTGTGGAGATGCATTCATTTATAATCTCAGATCTAATCTGTGCAGATTAACATCCAACCAAAGATCTGATGACTGAAGTATTAAACGACGGTCTCGTCTCATCTGCCCGACGTTTGTTGTAAAAAGCTGAATCTTTATTTTTGATTGTGAATTATTTTCTCACTGACGAGCAAAGCAGACAAACTAATGAATCGATGGTTTAATGGTTATTGTATTAATATATTCATACGGCTCCTCTCCTCCTCTGCTCTGATTCACGACTGAACTGAATTAATGTGATAACACCGAGATTTCCTCTCGTTTCAATTCACTGATGCACTTTTCAATCTGTCACGACTGTTTCATTTTGGAACTCTTAGTTTTATTAAATTGTTTTCTAGAATAGTTTTCTGTGATTATGTATTTTTGTGTTTTTTGTCCAAATAAAGAGATTCTCGAAAATAACAGAAGCTTTCCCTCATTTTCTAAGTTTGTTTTGTTGTCCCATTTACACCTTAGTTATCTTCTTACCTTTATATCTCACCTGTTGGGGACAAGTGTTTGTCATTTTGTACGCACCTGTTTTCATACAAACTCTTCTTCTCTGCTTTAGGAAACAATAAAGCATCTCCTGATGAACCCGAAATCACATGCACAGTTTAACTTCAGTTTTGGCACAAAAACTAAAAAAGAAAAAGTCACATCAGACATAAAAAGTCAGAAAATAGTTAAAAGAATACCTTCAGAGTCCAACGAGAGATCTTCAAATGTCAGAAAGATTTGAGTCTCGCTTATTTCTCATATTTATTTTAAAATCTAACAGTCAAATATGGTATTAATACAACACAACCACATCGTTTGTTTTTCCAGACAGTTTGAAATTACAGTTTAAGTTTAATTTTAAAATCCTCAGAGAATTCAGGCCGAGTCTCTGCGTCAAACGAGTTAATTCAATCTCATGTTTCTCTTACAAACGATCTGAACTATTAAAAGACTAGACGGTGAAAAATGCTGAATAACATTTTAAGTGTCTCTATTGAAGTTTAATTTCAGTACGAGAGAAAGTGATGACTCGGTGTTTCTTCTGCAGACGTCCAGTGCAAAGATGAACTTCTTTAACTTTCCTAATTTCTACCATTTAGGATTATAAATTAAGGTTTTAACACTTCTGTGACACTTTTTAGTTTGAGCAGATGGAAGTTTGTTCAGGTTGTTTTTAACTTTTCAGAGATGATCACAGTTCTTTCTGTTCACCTCTCAGGCCATCAGTGGGTGACAAGAGTCCAAACCTGAAACCACAATATCCGGGTTTTCATCCACACAGCATCCACTCGTCGCTCCAGAAGTCGACGCCTAAAACCTTAAAACATGTCAAAGTCCAGAAGCAGCACAAGCTGTCCTCGTAGCTGCTGAGCCACGTCCTCAGCTGTCCCACCCCTCCAGGACGGGCAGGAACGGCAGGTCGGTGCTGCCCAGGTACGTCCTCCCCCGGTGCTGGAAGACGTCGCTGACGGCCCACGTCAGCCGGCCTTCGGGGTCGTGCAGCGTTCCCACGATCTCGCCGTCCGAGCCCAGCTCCAGGACCAGAGCGTAGCGCGGCAGCAGGAGGTCGTACCAGCTCAGAGGGATCACCTGCAAACACAAACGCCTTCGGTTTAATATCAACAAGGTGACGAACATCTAAAGCCTGTCATTGTTCGAGCAAAAACGCCAAATATTTGATGGTTCCAGCTTCTCAAATGTGTGAATTTACTGCTTTTCTTCGTCACATGACAGTAAATAAAGTACATGAAGTAAATCAGATCAAATATATTAAAGTAAACAAAGTATATGAACTAAATTAGATATATTTAGATATTATATTGTTGCTTAGACAAAAGAAACGCTTTCAGGAGATTGTGACCTGTTATTTTTATATTTTATAGACTAAACAATTTAATATTTTTACTTTAATACTTTAATTATATCTTGCTGACAATACTTTTGTTCTTTTTAGAATCACTTGTATTTGTAATGGAGTATTTCTACATTGTAGTATTAGTGATTAAAGATCTGAACACTGTTGTGGTTCTTTACATTTTACTCGTCCAGGAATTTAATCTCCTTAAAACTAATTAGTAGTCCGGTCACATCTTTGAATAAAAGTTTGAATAAAAACAAAGTTTTTCAGTTTATCTGAGCTGAATAGTCAGTTTGACCTCAGCTGGCATTTCCCAGAGTTCACTGGGAGTTCAGACCTGTTCCTTCCAAGTGTGTGTGTGTGTGCGTGTGTGTGGGTGTGCGTGTGTGCGTGTGTGTGTGTGTGTGTGTGTGTGTGTGTGTGTGTGTGTGTAAAGGGGTCCTGCCCCTGTCCTGTCACATTTCACACCATCTAGTCTCTGCAGCTGTGAACAGAACCTGTTGTTGCCTCCTGACTGACGGACGAGCTAATTGTGAATCACACAGCGCTCCAAATGCATCATGGGAAAGTAGATTTGGTTATAACTGCTCTTCTGCGACTGCACAGCCGTTAAAATGAAGTTCAGGATGAGAAACGTTCTCTAAGAGTTCCATCTTTGTTTGCCATCTGAACTCTGATTTGCAATAATCTAATTTTCTTTAAGTTAATTCTTACTGCTCTGGGTTGCACTCGACGACCCGAAAAGACAAGGATCCCATTCTGTGCTTGACTGAAGTCATGTGGTTTTAAAGAAAGTCGACTTTAAGTGGCTAAAGACACGACTTCAGGATATGTGTGTGTCCCTCTTGTTCTCCAGCTGGAGCAGTTCCAGTTCAGAGCGGGACGATTGATCTTCTAGAAGCTTCCTGCAGCCCATCGCTGGCTGACTCCAGACTCACCTCTAATGTTTTCAGAAACATATCAAAGTGAACTGTTCAGCTGTAAAGAGAGAACGTTTGTTAACCCGACTGTTGAAATCAGTCGAGCCAAAATTAGAACAAGCTCCGCCCCCCGGCTGCTGCACAGAGTGCCGTTCGCCTGTTTATTCAAAGTTGATCAATATTTAACGTGTTGCATGTCCGAAGTCAAACTCGTCAACAAAACACCTGCTGAGTGTGAAGTAGTTTGGATGAACGGCTCTCCAGATTAGCGACGGAGACACAGTCACACACACACACATTCTCTCTCTCTCTCTCTCTCGCTCACTCTCACACACACACACACACTCACACTCTCTCTCGCTCACTCTCTCACACACACACACACAGTTATGTAACAATAAACCACACTGGCCTTGCTCAGGAGGCGTTTGACGGGCGGGTACGGGGCGATCAGGTCCAGGAAAGGGGGTGTGACCTTCCGGAACCGGGGCGTTGTTATGCCAACCAGGAATGTTCCGTGGTCGCTACGGCGGACGTTGTCAGGGTAACCGATCATGTTGTCCAGGACGACCTCTTTGGTGCCGGCCTTCGGCCCCTTCAGCCAAAATCTGAGAGAGGACAGAGACAGCTGAGGTGTGTATGCGTGTGTGTGTGCGCGTGTGAGAGAGAGTGTGTAGGTGTGTGTGTGTAGGTATGAGTGTGCGCGTGCGAGAGTGTGTAGGTATGTGTGTGTATGCGTGTGTGAGAGAGAGTGTGAGTGTGAGTGTATGTGTGTGTGTAGGTGTGCGTTTATAGGTGTGCATGTGTGTGTGTGTGTGTGTGTGAGTGTGTGTAGGTGGAGGTAGGAGTGTGTGTGTGTAGGTGTGTGTGCTTGTGTGTGTGTGTACCTCAGCATGCGTCCGATGCTCGTCTCTGCCAGCAACAGGAAGTGTTCGTCTGGAGACAGGGCGATGCCGTTGGGCATGTAGAGAGAGTCCAGCAGCACCTTCACACTTCCTGTCTCTGGATCGAAGGAGAGAAGACGGCCGAGGCTGTTCAGCTCGATCACCTGGAACATCAAACCGTTCAGCTTAGATCACATTTGGCTCACTTTTAGTACAGCCTAACTTGTCATAGTTCTGAGAAGTCGAAGTGCATTTCAGGTGCAATGAAATAAAATAAAAGTTATGAAGACAGAAAACATTTCCAAAGAAAAAAGCGAGAAATTATATTTCCTGTTGCATAAAATCACTAAAGTTAAGCTTAGCTCACGTTAGCTTAGCTTAGCCTACTTTGAATAGCTTCACCTTAAAAGGTGCAGTGTGTAGGATTTAGTGACCTCTAGTGGTGAGGTTGTAGATTGCAACCAACTGAAACTTCTCCCGTGTGCCAAACGTGTCGGAGAACTACGGTGGCCGAAGCGGTAACGAGAAAAAGCAAATGTCCCTCTCTAGAGCGAGCGTTTGGTTTTGTCCTTTCTGGGCTTCCGTAGAACATGGCGGTGCGACATCGTGGACTCACTATGTAGACACAAAGAGCTCATTCTAAGCTGACGACAATGCAATGATTCTTAGTTTCAGGTGATTACACATTAATGAAAACATTATTAATATTATATTACATTTCTGCCAATAGAACACTGGACCATTAAATATGTCATATAATTTCCATACATTTGCAGCATTAGTTATTTAACCACACATAATTATTGTGTTTCTGCATCCTGCTCTTATTTCCAACGTTTCTGGTCCACGTCTTGAAAACAGAGTGATTTAATATTAAAATTGATGACTTGTTTTTCCATCCCTCCATGACCTCTCTCAGCCGGCCACCATTCGAATAAATTAAAACATTCATAACACATTAATGTGTTCATTAATCATTGATTTAATGGTCATTCGTCTGGGGGTTTCGGGTCAAAGGGACGCAGGTTCTGTCTTGATAAATGAAACCAGATTTCTTCTTCTACATAATCAGATCGTCTCTCCTCAGCAGCACTCAGCCGTTTGCTGAACTGAATGAACTCCGATTAGTATTCTTATTAGTATTCTCTTCTTCTGGCAAACCGGCCGGACAAAACAAGTGTCCTCGTGGGTCATTTGGAGGGCTGCGGTTGCTGAGCAGCGCTGGAAAAAAAAAACCTGAATGGATGCTACTTTCTTTTTTGTTTTTTTGTTCATCTCACCTCCAGCTTGACGTGTCTGCGTCCCCATCGGCTGGACGAGTCGGTGAAATAAATGAGCCCAGTTTGGGAGGAAATCTCCAGCCCGTTCAGGAAGGCAAAGGGAACGCCGTCAGCTCCTGAGGCACAAAGAAGTGATTTATTTCTAACATTACAGTTATTTAGCATGCACGCCATCACACTGTACCTTGTGAATTAGAAAGGAGCAGAGTCTTTTCTCCAGTTTTGGGGTCGACGCTGTGCAGCCCAAAGTACGAGTCGGCGACTATCAGCTGACCGCGGCGATCCAGACGAACACCGTGAGGACGACCGCACACGGGCTCGTAGTCCGTGCTGCTGCCTGAAAAACGCACACGTATGTGAATACGTACACTTCTCTATACGTTTCCTGAAAGACTGAATGTTGCCGGTTTTATTTGCTCATCTGATACTGATGCAGAGATTTAAAACAGAGAACTTTAAAAAAAATAAAACACAGACCACATTCTGGTAGGTCCTGTCCCATCTGTGTGATGAGGGTGAGACTGTCATCAGGACCGATCCTCCACAGCTTCCCGTCCACCGTCCCTGTGAACACGTTACCTGAAACACAACACGAGCTGATGGTTCAGGGGTCAAATCCCATCCGGCCCTCGACGAGATCATCTACAACGTTTAAAAGACACGCTCACCCTCCTCATCCGCAGTGAAGGATTCTGGTCCGCGTAGTTTCCCGGTGAACAGCCTGCGGCCGTTCTGCAGCCGGGTGTTGACAGCCAGCGGCCCCTCGAGGGCCGGAGGGGGCCCCTTCAGTCTGGAGGAACGGATTGGGATTTAACTGATAGCGACAACTACAGTAAAACGACGCAGCGGTGTGTTTAGTAATGTGGTTAAGATAAGAGCATATTAGAGCAGTTAAACTCATGTTGATGTGTGTGTGTGTGTGTGTGTGTGTTCTTACACATGTGGTTTGGGGTCTATAGGAGACGGCAGCAGATAAACGCCAACGACCACAGCGAGCAGAGCCGCTAATAACGATCTCTTACCCAACCTGACAGAGAGCAGAAATAAAAAACTGTGTTATTTATATGTTATATTTTAGATTCTTTTGACAAAGATAAAATAAAAAGTACATTTGAGATCATTTAAACTCAAATGAATAGACCCTTTAAAGCCTAAACTTTGCAGAATAAAGCAAAGATGACACTGACCCTTAGTTTCTTAATTCATGCATATTAACACTAATATTTAAATATAAAACGGGGAATCAAAGCTGCAAAATTAAAGGATTGTACTGTGTGTGCAGTTCACAGTCTGCCGTTAATAAGTCAACAGTGTTGTGTCACACATGGTGAGGTGAACTTTGACATGAAGGAGATGTTCCACACAGGATCTATAAGATGTAACGCTGCATGCTGGTGACACTAAGGTGAAGGGTCTGAATCAAACTACACGTCAATGTTCATCAAGTAGGTAAATAAGATTGTAGAGTTTATTCAGAGATTGGTTCTTTGTTGCTCCTATTTGGATTGGGAGTGAAGAACATGAGACATTCTTCTCAGGAAATAACAGAGATCCCAAAACGCACCGATTGAGCAACTTCTGCACCAGTTTGCATGAACTCTTCTTTATTACTACTACTTCTTGACAAATGCATTTCACAATACATTCACAAATCCTGAGGCAGGAATCTGTTTTGGTCTAATAAACCCACAGCTGCGTGCTCTGTTCTGAGAGTAACGCCTGAACCGGTGGTTTTGTTGTTTAGATAAATAATAATAAGAAGTCTCATATTTTGTTTAAAATGATTGAAGTGACAAACTTACATAGTTGAGTTTTGCATTCTGCGTCTCTTCTTCCTGCTGCAGCACACGGCTGAATGAGCGAGAGTCCGAGAACACTGTTAAGTACACCGGAGTATACACGGGAGCATCCGGTGTAGGCCTTCAGAATAAAAGCACTGACGCACACGTTTCCGGTCCATACTTTATCAAAGGCTGACCTTTCTGACCTTTACGTCCAGTGTACTCAGTTTTAAATGTTAGCGTTATAAAACAATGTGGGAAACTCACTTTCATGGATATTTTGAGGTGCATATTCACATTATTGGGGCTTTAAGGGAAGTTTTGTTTTATCAGATTATTTTATGTCCTCAAAAATTGGTACGTTTATTTCCCTCATAACCTCTTCTGAAAATGTGAAAGAAGGCAAAACAAAGACGAGACAGTGTGAGCTTTTATTTTGAAGGCAGCAGAGGGGGGGGGGGGGGGGTCTGGAGGTTATGCAAGTCAGGGTCAAACGTTTACGGTCTTTATGCAACAAAGTCTGATTTATTTTTAAATACCGGCATTTGTACAGTTTGTGTGTAGATCCAGTAAATATTTTAGATATGAATTCAATAAAAACATTGGTTGATTTTGGAAATACAGGGCTGTGACCAACGATTATTTCTATTATCCATTTATCTGATGATTGTTTTCTGGTGTTTAAAATTCAAGAAAAAGGAAAAACGTCCATTTAAAGTTTATGTCTTCAAATATTTTTTTCTTGTTTAACCAACAGTTTTAAACATAAAAATATTAGTTTAAAATTTTACAAAATAAAGAAAAGTAGCAAATTCTCATACAAGACGCTAAATTAAACTGATTTTTTGGCATTTTTGCTCAAAAATGATTTTTTTAAGCCGAGTAATCATCAATTTAGTTGCCGATTAATTTTCTTTCCACTGAAATTAAAAGACAAATCTTTCAGCTATTGTTAAGCATATTAAAATAATCCCGTTTACAATATCTTAATTCAACTACAACAACAAGAAGAGAATAAAACACTCGTTTTGTTTTGATTCCACCTTTAATAGAGGCCGCCCGCCTTGTGTGAAGGAAAGGCCACATTTGGTAACGATTCAGAGAGAAAACCACAAGACACCAACAGAAATAAAACCTGCCTCCAGCTAACTGTTGAGAACTGAAACACGTGAGGGAACTTTAAAAAGGCACCGCTGAGGTCCGAGCTCTCAGACCCGAGCTTTTCAACTAGATCCTGCACTGAAATATGGCTTCCATTGACTTTAATCTACGGCGGACAGATTGGTGAATTAATAAAAGAGGATTCTTCGTCATAAATCACAGACGATCAATTCGGATTCTGCAGCTCAGGTCTGAAATTTAACTTTGTGTTTCTGAACTCAGACGCTCGAAGAACTCATGTGAATATAAACCTGATCTCTTCTCTGTATAGTTAACACAAATTAGCATAATTGGAACAAAAAATGGTGTCTTAAATGGCAGAAGAGCTAAACACAGATCTTTGGCATTTAACGTTACAGTTTCTGGATATTCAAACATAGATCGCACAAAACAGCAGATCTTAAGAGCCCGAAAGCTGCTCGTAGGATCGAAGCCACAAAGGTCCCTTTAGTGACTGTTTATATATATATATATATATATATATATATATATATGCAATTTAGTGGCTGCAGAGGAATGAATAAATACATAAATCCCGCTGTCCTTTTCGACCACTGCTGGATATGATTTGGTAAATATTTAAGGGTGCATGAAAATAGTTTTGTTTAAGGATAATCGAATCAAGTTTTGGGGCACCCTTAAGACTCCGTAAAATCAGACGTAAGTAAAAATAAATATTGTTATCTATGTGATGTGTGTACTGAAAGCTCTGGAAAGAATTAAGTAAGTATACCTTGAAAATTTCCTATTATAAAACCAAGAAATACTCGCATTTGATTGGCTGAAACCCGAGAATTTCTGCCTACAAAATGTCCAGAAAAAGCCCATAATGACTCCTCAGAGTCAACAACACATTAAAACTGCTTGTTTTGTGTGAACAGTAACAAACTCAACTATATTCAGTTTATCAAAGAAAAGCAGCAAATGACCAAAATAGATGCAGAACATTTGTCTGTTGATTGATTAATTGAGTTATCCCCGCTAGATGTTTGAGCTCCAGACAAAACTTAATGTATAAAATACATTCTAGAAAAACAAAACACTAAAACTGTTTTTTTCCCCCAGAGCTTTCAGCCACATTTCATGGCCTTCATCAGCCATTACACTTTGCTCCGATGGATTAGTTGTTATCACATGAACGGAGTAAGTCTGGGACACAAAATATCAGCATAATATGATTTAACATGACATTTGAAAATAAACTAAACAAACTTCAATATTGTGATTGAACCTCTGAATACAAAGCAGGTTCATCGACTCTTCATTCATCAGCACTACCGGCACAAAAGCTTTTCATTACACATAAAATGATCAACAAGCCGGATTTATATCACGAGCAGATCCGACCGCATTTGAAATCAGCTGTTTTTAATCATTTGCACTCCAAAAAAATGTGTTTCCAAACGCCGTCCGACCCCCATTGTGATCTATGGTGACGCATGCTTTAAAGCAGCCCAGTAGTTTGTACAGTGAGCATGTATTTATACAACAGGAACACATGCGAGATTCACAGTCTACAGCTAAACGCAAATCATACGGAAGCTCGTTGAGACAAAATAAAATGAGCTTAAAATAATTTCCATTTGTTAAAAAAATAAAAACATCATTATGAGTGGAGCTTAACGAGATCTTTCAAAATAAGATAATCGAGTATTAGATGTTAAGATAAAGTACAGGGTGTGATGCCGCAGGAGATCAACAAAAAAAAAAAAATGAATTAAGAAAACCCGTCTTCCCTGAATTCGAAGTTAAAGTGCCCAAAAAGAATTGATACGACTCGTCTGGTGTTTTAACAGCTAAAGTTGTTTATCAGATACACAAACAACAACATGGCTTTAAGGTTAATTAACTGTTTCCATGCAGACTTTCGTATCATTTTAAATTATATATAGGGAAGCAAAAAAAGGCCAAAATAGTTTGAGCTTTACAAGCGACTGAATTCCTAATTTGTGTGAATTATTTGAACTGTTCAGTAGTTTAATTCAGGTTTAGTTCATTCTTGGCAGCTCAAATGTTTAAGTTTCATTCAGTGGTATTCAGGGACGCTCCAATTATTTATTATTGAGGGACAGATTTAAAAAGCATGCGCTGACTTTTACTCCGTAGTACAGGTCACGCTCCAAAAAAAACCACTCTACATTTCCCAAAATGCAACTCTTCCATTAGACCCTCTCTGCCTCCTAAAACAATATTATATTTACAAGTATTTCTCCTCAGGCGAGTAAAACTGAAGTAATTTATAAATCTGGTGGAGTTTATCTTTAAATGTCACAATTAGACATTCGGCTGCTTGTAAGATTCAAATCCTTTTGACCATTTCTTTATTTGCTTCCACAGCGTTACCCCAGTGTCTGAAAGTAGAAGAAACGAGGGTTCAAACCCCTTTAAATATAACTATAAACTATGTTTTCCCTCCAGTGGGAAAAAGGCCTCCAATATATCTTTTGCTCCAGGCAACACCACGAAAATATCTTTGGTTATAACAAAAAATAATAATAGTTTGACACAGAAATGAGAGAATAGTTGCAGTGTTTGTCCACTAGGTGGCGGTGTTTTACTTCTTTCATGCATTTTACATATCTTTTTTTATTGACTTTTGATCAGTTTTAAAAATCAGATTTGTAGTTTGTCAAAGTGATTGTATTATCTTGTTTGTTTCCTCAAATATCTGGATTTCTGCTCATTCAAAAAGCAGAAAAAAACAGAATTCTTCTACAAAACTATATTGAAAACGAGCCTCTTTGGTCCCGAAGCCACAGACGATACGTTGCATTTAGTAAAGACAACATTGCATATACTGCACAAAAACCACCTTAACTTTTGCACCTTCTTCTGCACTTGCGGCTGCATAACTTTATCTCTGACGTCTTTCTATCCTTTACTTTAAGCTACCATCCTTTCCTTCCTTCCTCGTTTCCTTCTTTAATATTTCCCTCTTTTATCCACCGTAAAAAAGCTGAAACCCGGACTGACAAGGAGGTCAAGGCTGAACGTTTTAACTTGAGATAAGTGCACAAAAACACAGGCGTTACTTAAAATGAATGTCTGCAGACAGACAGGCAGGCAGACGAACGGCTGCAGCCATTTCTCCCTCCCTTGTTCTCTGCAGCTATCAGCGCTTACAGACCTCCTTTTCTATCAGCTGTGGACTACAGGAGCTTTCATTAACGCAGAAGCAGTTAATCACGGTGACTTGTGGTTTGAATCCCGTCATTGTCCTCAAAGTGACGGCTACACTGCGGTCTTTGTCAAGTCTTCTGTATTTCATCCTTCCAGTGAACGTCTCTCTTCCACTTCCTCTAAGCTGCTCGGTCAACTTCCAGAAAACCAGTCGAATCTCACGCCTCCCTCCTCCGACCGCACGATGTCAAAGGTCAGGAGTCGGTTCATCCTCGCTCGTCTTCACAAACTATCTTTACAACCACAAACCTAACTTCTTCCTGTGCTCACAAGCTTCTATTTTCACCCTTAGTCTTTCAGTAGAAACCTTTTCTGTTTCATGTTTTCAGTCACATTAAACTCTTTATTTCTCTGTACCTTCGTCAACCACATTCAGTTTCGACTTCTTTACTTCCAGTGTATTCTCTCAATATTTTGGTTGATGTAGCTGCAGCTTGATGCTAATGTTGTGTATTTACCTCTAGTAGCAGTCTGGATGAACTATTCTCCGTCTCTGTGTCAACAAACACATTGGTGCTCTGCCTCTGTACAAAAAACTAAAATAAGACTTTTTTTTTTGTTGTTTCAACAAAACGAAACAATAAAAAGCTTCACCCATATAAATTAAAAAAAAATATATATGTACAGACCTTTTAAAACAAACAAAATTAAATAAACCTCTAACTCAACATATGGCCTCGAGTCTTTCACAAGTTTAAAAGGATAAAAAGAGGAATTGGATAAATTATGTGACAGCAGGACAGAGTGAGAGACGAAGAAGAAGAGAGGGGTGCAGAGAGGATGAGTTTGGCACGATGAAGTGAATCTTTGGTGAGAGCAGGCAGCACTTTGAAGTCTTTAATCCAGGCTGAATCAAACTCCAGCGTCCACATTTAGTCCGTTCACGTCTTTAGTCGCTTGTCAGTTTATCTCCTTTATATCATCCCTTTCTTCCAGGCGCTGGATCCTCTCTTCTCACTCTGCAGTCACATCCTTCTCTCTGGCAAAATTTACACTATTTTTGTCCTCTGAGGAGGTAAAAAAAAAAAAGAAAAAGAATCACCTCCTCCGTCCCTGTAGGGGGCAGTGTTCCTGTCTCATGGAGGTTAATCCTCTAAGAGGGTCCTCTGACCTCCCTCAGCGCCTCCTCCAGTCTATGGCGATACGCATCGTAGCGCCTGTGCATCGCCTCCCGCTGCTCGTCCTCCTCCTTTTCGAGGATCCGCAGGAAGTTACGCAGCTCGGGGATGGAGAACGCGTCCCACTGAAACCAGGAGCAAAGAAACTTTATCGATAACCAACATTTTAGTTTGTTTTCTCTTGTGGATGCTGCTGGATTGGTGAGTAGGTCTTTATAATATTCATCATGCTGTTGTTGTTGTTATGTCCCTATTGTCACTGATATACAAGAAGGCAATGAGACGAAGAGGAGGTTTATTTTAGTAAAGATGAACAGACGATTCTTGCAGAAATGAGCTTCCATAAAAAGGAGTAGAGGAGAAGAAAAGGAGGCAGAACGAGACTAAGTAATGGAAAGAGAAGAGGGGGATGAAGAAAAGGAAGGAAGAGGAGGAGGAGAGAAAGTGAAGAACAGGAATAAATATTTAACTGTAAATGCATTAAAGAAGACAGAGAGCCTCCGCAGAGGAAGATGGAGGTGAAGAGTTACCATGACTTCTCCAATCTGCTGTTCTCTCAGGACGAAGCTCAGCGTGTCGCCGTCGGGTCCCGCCACCAGACGAAGAAACAACGGCTGCTCGCCATCCGCCAGCTTACACACATACACTGCAGGAGACACACACACATACAGATTAATTTAGGCGGTATGTGCAGTTCTTTAAGCCACATGCATGCAGGCACCACTGCGGTCGCTGCAGTTGCATTTGGTGTGTGTGTGTGTGTGTGTGTGTTTGTATAAACAGGCATGGCAGAAGATGAAAGGATGGGTGCGGCACATTAACGACCACAGTAATTTAGAAAAACCGAGAGGGACTGAAGCGGCGTCACAGCAGACAGACCAACAAACACGGGACTTTTAAGGCCGATACCGATACTGATAGTTGTAAATAAAATGTAAATTAGATCAAATAAATTTGATTAAATCAGTTAAATTTGTTAATGAGAGAGTTGTGATTACGATATGAACGTCTTCCAAGTCTGACAATGTCAACGTATCAAAGTATCTTTGAATAACCATCAAATAATAATCTGCTTTCTTGCTGAAAGTAAGAGAAGATTGATAGCACTCCCTCATATCTAGCTAAAGCTAGAAGCCTGTTTAGCTTAGCTTAGCATAGACACTGGAAACAGCTAGTCAACTCAACTGCTTATATTAAATAGAAGCTTCACCCCACTATTGTCTGTGAGGTTTATGTATGAAGCCCAGTCTGCACACATCTGTTGTCAGACGTCTGTCTAGACGACGTCTTTTATTAGCCGAGTCTCACTGTACGTCTCCAGCAACGAGCTAAACAGACCAGGAGGCAAAATGTTTCACAGACTTCAAACAAGATATAAAAACAACAATTTAATTACTTTACATGGTCTTGTTTTATAGGATGAGACCCATAAACTCCATCTTTTTCCTGTCTGTGAGACGCTAAAGATGATATTTGAAATCAAGCAACAGCTGCTGATTCATAAAGAGAGTGTGTGTGTTTATATATACATGCGAGGGTATTCCTGGTGAGCTGTTGATAGTGGGGAGAGCCCCACAGCATCCAGCAACATTAGGGCGAGGCATTCAGAAACACACACACACACACACAGAGAAACACACACACAACACTATGTCAGTGCCGAAGCATCCGATACCAAGCTTGCTTGGCATGAGTGGCATGAAACACACTGTCTCCAGCCCTGTCGCTTTCACTGTCTCTCTCTCTC